GACCACTAATTTTGTGTGAAAAAATACCAGCATTACTTACAGGCGATATCTGAAATGCACAAAAGGCGAAGTTCTGGCTTTTTTATGCTGATTTCGTTGACGAATATAGCCAAATATCGTAGACAAGCAAATCATATAGATGAGTCTGAATTTGGAGATACAGAAGGACTTCTTGCTTTTGGAGATGATTGCAAAATATTATATTAATATTAACCAAAAAACAGAAATGTTTTTCCGATAACACAATTGAAGCCAATCGACACGCCTGTGAAAAGAGTTAAGGACAGGGAAGAATTTTAGCATTTTGGATGACCATTGGATTATATTTAGCTGTAAAATGGACTACAACAACTAACAGCCCGACGGAGTGCATAAATGTTGGGCAAATGTCCCTAGTCAAAATCCTAATTTCAAAAGAGAAATCTTCCAATATGGATTTGGACATAAGGGGGCTTCTAATATATGTAGTGTTGTAGGGTATAACATAGTCGGCCCCGCACGCCTATAGCTTTTGCTTAATTGTTAAATTTGGTCTAAATTTGCTATATATATTTTTTTTGACATGGGACTACTGCTAAATGGTGGCCCCGCCCAACATTTGACCTTTCCTCACTCGTTATTTGTATATCGACATGAATAACGTGTAAATGTCCGTTTATTAAAATAAATTTTTACTTGTGTTATGATTATTAAATTTTTGACCATTTATGGTACCAAAGGAGTGGCCAATACTTTCCATTTCAGATATAATTATCACAACGTCGACTATATTATTCGCTTTAATTGACATTCGTGATAATTATACCCCCAGCCATATGGCTAGAGAGGGTATATTCCATTTGATATGGTCAAAACGTGCCTAGTCGAAATAACGGTTTTAGACCTTTGGTCTCTTTAGACCAAATCCGTTTTAGGCCATTTGGGCTCGTTCTAGCAATGTCCGTCCGTTCGTCCGACTGTCTGTCTATCTGACTGGCTGTTGCGCACAATAACTTTCGAAGGGAGAGTCCAATTTGGCCCGAACTTGGTACATCTTAATATTATTGTCAAGCTTAGATCAAGTTCGGAGATGGGCAATATCAGTCCACTCTTTCTGGTACCTCTCACACAAAATTCCAACATTTTCAAAGACAATAATTTACTGCACAGAAAGAGAAAGGATAATCCGATTTTGTTTCAACTTTTCGAATCCACAAAGGGTCAAAATTTTGAATAACTAATGTGATGTAAGAGCCCGATTGTCTTCAAATTTTACACATCCCAATAATTTTATTAACCCAAGGTCTGGGGCCAAGATGGAACACATCGGTCCACTCCTTCTAGTACCTCCCCACAAAATTTCGAAATTTTCAAAAAAAAAATCTGCACAGAAAGAGAAGCAATAATCCGATTTTGTTCCAACTTTGAAAATCCTAATATCTGCGTCAGGTGCAAAAATGGATAATATCGGTCCACTCCATCAATACACAAAGCGTAAAAATTTTGAATAATTACAACTCTTAAAAAATGTGAAGTAAGAATCCGATTGTCATAAAGTTTCACACACAAGGTCGAAGTTTTGAATATCCATTTAGGTCATAAAACGCGAAATTAATATCCGATTCTATTTAGACTTAGTACATCTGAATATTTCTATCAACACAGGATCTGTTATAAAAACGGTAGAGATCGGATCATTACCTTCCCCACAAAGCGTCAAAGTTTTGAATAACCAAAACTTTTATAAAATCCGAAATAAGCATCAGATTCTCTTTATATTTCACACATTCCATTATTTCCACTAACAAAAGATCTGTTGTGAAGATGGGATGTATCGGTCAACTCCTTCTGGTACCTCCCCTACAAAGGCTGAACATTTTAAATGTCCATGAAGCTCATAAAATGCGAAATTAACACCCGATTCCATTCAAGACTCAATCTCAATATTTCCATCAACACCATCAACTGTGAACCCCTTACAAAGGGTCCCAATTACTTTTATCTGTACTAACTTGCGAAAAAAATCAGCGATTCTTTACAACTTGCTATATCTAAATATATCTCTCTTTGCCAATGAAATTTATGATTTTCCGTAAATTGGATAAAAATGTTCGATTTTCTTGTAATAATGCCCATTCCAATGTTTTTATATGTATTAGATGAAGCGAGAATATGGAATACTTCGGTCGACTGATATCTTGTACATCGCGTACATGTTGACATTCTCTTAAGTTACAAATATAGTCCAAACCTGGCACGTCGCAAAATTTTATCACTATACCCTACAACACTATGTGTTGGGGGTATTATAAGTTTGATTGGGCCAAAAATTATGTAACACCTCGAAATATTGGTTTCCCACATAGGAAAGTATATATGGATCTTCCTATCTCGCCGAGCTGAGTCGATCTAGCTATGTATGTCCGTCCGTCCGTCTGTCCATGTTAATTTGTAATCACTCTACAGGTCGCAATTATGGCCCGATCTTTACGAAATGTAGGTGGGGTTAATGTCAGAATAGAACCCTATTTCTTTTGGAGATGATCGCATAATATTTAGGGGTTGAAATGGACCAAAAACTGAACAATTTCCTGATTTTGCAGTTGCTCTACAGGTCACAATTATAGACCAATCTAAGCGAAAGTTAGCATGGGGCTAGAGCTTTGGGCTGGGCAGAAGCCTTATAATTTTGATGGTCATCGGGTAACATTTAGTGGTTGAAATAGACATAGCATTTGTGATAAATAAAAGCCAAATTTTCCATTAAACCGTGAATATTTTTAATGCCTGCGAAATCACAAATAGACGAACAGGTCAATTCTGACCGTTACGTAGATACCGATAGTAAAAATATCGGATATATATAGCGAATGTATAAGTACAAAGGAAGGGGATGTTAGCTAGAATGCTTATATCTCCAGAATGGCTGGAGCGATTTTGACAAATTTTGTAAAATTAGAATGCCCCTTTGGCATAAAAGTATAAAATTTAAAAAAATCGCATAAAAAGATACCAATAATGATGTTAATATAGATTTTGTAGTATTTTGTGACATTTTTTTATTTTTTCATATTTTTTATCGCATGCGATTTTTTCAATTTGACTTATAATATTGAAGTGTATATTTTGTAATATTTTTGCACTTTACAACACAGGTTGGGGTTATTATTTATATACAGATTGCAATTATCGTTCGATCCTCACGAAATTTTTTATAAAGGTAGGGTTAGGCTCAGAAGGGCTTTAAAGATGTCCGCAATATATTTAGGGGTTGAAATGGACCAACAACTTAAAATGTTCCTGATTTTGCACCCGTTATAAAGGTCACAAATATAAACCAAAGGACACGAAATCTTGCATGAAGTTAGAATTTAAGACAGCGGGTAGAATGAGCCAATACTTTTGTGTGAAAAAATACCAACATTACTTACATGTGATATCCGAAATACACAATAGGCGAACTTCTAGCATTTTTATGCTGATTTCGTTGACGAATATAGCCAAATTTCTTTTGGAGATGATCGCAAAATATTTAGGGGTTCTAATGAACCAAAAACAGAAAAAATCCTGATCACGCAATTGAAGCCAATTGACACGCCTGAGAAGATAGTTAAGCACAGTGAAGAATTCTAGCATTTTGGATGACCATTGGATTATATTTAGCCGTAAAATGGACCACAAAAACTAACAGCACGACGGAGTGCACAAATATCGGGAAAATGTCCCTGGACAAAATGCTAAGGGTAATATCTGGGCAGTGCTCCGTGACATAATTTCAAAAGCGAAATCTTCCAAAATGAATTTGGACACGAGGGGGCTTCTCACATATTGTAGTGTTGTAGGGTATCACATGGTCGGCCCCGCTAGACTATAGCCTTTGCTTACTTGTTTTTATTTAGGTCCGATACGAAATGGCCAATATTGGCACATTCCTCACTCAAGGGGTTAAACATTTGAATAATCATAACAGAAGTCAAAATATTTGTAAATAATCGTACATTGGCTGAGGGTACACATCTGTCGACAAAACCGACAGACACTTTTTAACTTGTTTTTGAAAATTTCGACCTTTTGTGGGAGAGGTACCAGAAGGAGTAGACCGACTCTTACATCACATTTTATAAGAGTTATAATTATATAAAATGTTGACCCTTTGTGGGGAGGTACCTGATGGAGTGGATCGATATTGTCCATTTTCGTTTCTTTTCTCTTTCTGTGCAAAAAAAATATATTTTTTGAAAATTTCGACTTTTTGTGTGGGAGGTACCAGAAGGAGTGGACCGATATTGCCCATCTCCGAACTCGACCTAAATTTAACAAAAATATTACAATGTACCAAGTTTGGATAAAAATCGGATACTCCCTTCGAGAGTTATCGTGCGCACCAGCCAGACAGACGGACGGACGGACATCGCTAGATCTACTCCAAATGTTCTGAAACGGATTTGGTCCAAGGAGACCTAGGGTCTAAAACCGTTATTTCGGCTAGGGTATAAAAATCAATCACTTGGACACTTTCTGCCTAATACGTATTTTTACGTTAATTTCAGTCGTCAACTCGAAAAAGTCGGTGGAAAATGTAAAAAAAAATAAGGAAACATTTTCCCTTTTTTTTGTAACATTGTTGCTAAAATTTTTTTGATATACAATAGAAATACAAATTTCTTTTCTGTGGTGGAACATAGTTAAATTTGATCTTAAATAATTCTGCATTTGACACTTCCCAAAGCAATGAAGTATAATGGGAGATTTTGACTTAAATTAAAATCGTCTTATTTTTTACAGTAAAAAAACAAACACACAAATTTTCACTTTTAGTACATAAATATCGAATATATTTTTCCATAAAAACTATTATACCAAGGTATATGATTAATCCTGAGATTTATTATGAAATTTTGCGTAGAATATTCCACCTTTTGACACTTTCTGTCAGAAATAAAATTTTATCTTACTTTCATGCGTCAACTCGAAAAAAGACCGAGGAAAAATGTATGAACAAATTAGAAAATATTTTCAGGTTTTGTTTTTTGGTAATAATGATGCAAATTTTTCTTGATATGTAATGGCTATGGAGATTTCTTTTCTTTGGTAACTGATAATGAAATTTGATGAACAATAATTTCGTCTTTGATGTCATCGTTCTAAAATGATGCATTGTAGGAGAATTTCGCAAAAACTCACACAAATATTTATGAATTCCTGTGAAAAATCACATATCAAAATAGTAATACTTATATTGGGTCTCCTACCCATACATTAATGCTCTATATAATTAAAAAATTTCATAAATTTGTTAGCATTAAATCATTTAAATTTCTTGTCCGACAACTTTTCGAAACCCTCACACGAAGCATCGTCCAAATGAAAGTGGTCAATGGAGCTGACTCGTACCGAGACACCATCAATGCCAAAGATTTTGACTCCAGAGATATTTGTTAAAACATCAGGTGTACGCAGGGCATAGTCGAAGAGATAAGTGCCATCCTTGGCCATGCGAAAATGCGTCTCAGTGAAAGCAACGGCAATTTTGAAGGGAGTTGAAAAATCCTCAAACGGAAAGTGGCCATCCTTTTCTTCCGAACCAAATCTGGTATTGAAAGAGACATTTAAAATTATTTTCAAAATCAATTTCCGGGATAAATTTCCTCGGACTTACACCATTTTTTCGGGATTATCCTTTTTGTTGCGTGTCGGCAATTTTGAGTTACGTATAACCTTCTTCTTATCGAATCGCATACTAATGTGCACCTCTTGCCGTTTTAAGTTCATGACATTGCGAAAATGCATTATGAAGCGACCCTTGGTATCACCCCTCAGTTTGACCATAATAACCATAACATGGCCCGGCTGAAATGCCATGGGTATGTCGTGGCTAAAATGTACCCGTGTCTCCGCCAATTGCACCAGAGGCCAGGGCCGGGGGAAATATTTACGATGATCGATTTGAGTGATCTGTGCCAAGTGCCCGGTAATTTTCAAAGTATTTAGATCCTCAATTGGGACCTTGTACTCTACAAACATCAACGGATTCCCATTGATGCTGATGTGGAACTTTTGCTCATCCATAATTAGGTTGATTTTGAACGGCTGATGGAACTCATCGGTGTTGTACTCCTTGTCTGCCACTTCCAGCCAATTTCCATCAATCTGTTGTTTTAGCATGATTTTCTCATGTTGCGTATTAACGATCATGTGTAGGCCGATATCGATGTTATCTCGCTCTTGGAAGCGTCCCGTGGCCAAGGATATGCTGAACCTAAGGAAATATTAAATTTGAAAAAAATTGATTGAAAAATATTTTTATATTAATTATTACAGGAAAAACTCAGTAGCTTGTAAAAGTAGAGCTGAAAAATATGAGGCGTTTGAAAGTTTACATTGTAAAGTGGCCAAATATAGTGGGGAGGGGGGTGCAAAATCCCCACTCCTCCATATTTTTTGAAATTGTCGTATTCCTTGGAATACCTTGATTTTAGTTAGGTATATAGTGACTTCGGCAATATTGCAGATAAAATTAGAAGGAATATTTTGGTTATAAATATTAACCCTCAAGAGGGGTCGTTTTGGTCCTTTTTTGAAAATACGGTAAAAACCACACTATAAACGGCTTCGTAGCATGTCAAAATATTTTACGAAATTATTCCTCATAAAATTCTTCTATAGTTTCTAGGAGATATATATCAAAAGTATAAATCCTACCTAAAAGCTAGGAATTCATAAACAGTAAGCAGACATTTTCGGGTAAAATCCGTACTTCATGTGAGTTTATGCAAAAATCTCCTACAAAACATCAGTGTAGAAAGATGACGTCAAAGACAAAACTATTTTTCATCAATTTTCACTATTAGATACCACAGGACAAAAATCTCTATTTCCACAACATATCAAGAAAATATTTAGATCAAGGTTGCGAAAAAAAATTCGAAATATTCCCTAATTTTTTGATCATTTATCCTGGGCCTTTTTTCGAGTTGGCGTCTGAAAGTAACATAAAATTTCATTTTATACCAAAAGTGTCAAAAGAAAAAATATTCTATACAAAATTTCACTTCAACTCCCAGAATCAACTATATAGCTAGGTACGATAGTTTTTAAGAAAATTACTTTTGAATTTCATGTTCTTCTAGAGAAAATTGTGTGTTTATGTCTTTTACTGTTAATTCAACACGATTCCATTTTAAGCCATTATCTTCGGTTATTCTTCATTTTTTGGGGAATGTGTCAAAGGAAGAATTATTCTAGATCAAATTTCAGTAAGAGCCACCAGGGAAAAGAAATCTCTATATCCACTACATATCAAGAAAATATTTGCATCAATGTTGCGAAAAAAAAAACAAAAATTTTCCCTAATTGTTTTTGATAAATTTTTCCTCGGACTTTTTTCGAGGTGACGCCTGAAAGTAACATTAAATTACATTTTAAGCAGAAAATGTCAAAAAAAGAAATATTCTATACAAAATTTCACTATAAATCTCAGGACCAACTATATATCTAGGTACGATAGTTTTTAAGAAAATTACATTCGAATTTTAATGTTATTCTAGTGAAAATTGTGTGTTTATATTTTTTACCGCTAATTCAACACGATTTCATTTTAAGCCATTATCTCCCTTTATACTTTATTTTATGGGGAATATGTCAATGGAAGAATTATTCAAGATCAAATTTCACTTCCAGCCACCAAAGGAAATAAATCTCTATGTCCACTACATATCAACAAAATATATCCATCAATGTTGCGAAAAAAAACGAAAATATTCCCTAATTGTTTTTGATAAATTTTTCCTCGGACTTTTTTCGAGTTGAAGCCTGAAAGTAACATTAAATTACATTTTAAGCAGAAAATGTCAAAAAAAGAAATATTCTATACAAAATTTCACTATAAATCTCAGGACCAACTATACATCTAGGTACGATAGTTTTTAAGAAAATTACATTCGAATTTTAATGTTATTCTAGTGAAAATTGTGTGTTTATATTTTTTACCCCTAATTCAACACGTTTCCATTTAAAGTCATTATCTCCCTTAATTCTTCGTTTATTGGAGAAAGTGTCAAAGAAAGAATTATTCTATATAAAATTTCATTGTGAGCCTGTGAACAAAGGAAATTTGTATACTCAATATGTACCATCGGAAAAATATCATCCATTTTGAGTTATTTGTTTATTTTTATTTTTTTCGCTTTATGGTTTATAAAAAATCTTGATTTTGATAATTGCTCTTTCGAGTTAAGCCAGTAGCTAAAACCTTCTGATGCAAGATATTCTACACCAAAAGAAGACAAAAGTTTTCAAGTATATTGTTTGAAAAGTATGAGCCTAGATCATCATAATAACTAAAATCAGGAGATATCTTTATTTAGAGGCTCTACGTACGGGTTGTGCGTTTCTACGTAAAAAAGATATCAAAAATGCCAACATTTGGTGAAATTAAATGGAAAACATGGCCTAAACTTAAAAAAAAAATACTTGAGATTGCAAATATTTCTATATGGGGGCTATACCGAAAAGTGAGCCATTTTAGCACCATTGATTCTGGCTGTAGTTCAAAGATCTCCATCGATTTGCAAAGCTCTATCATAATTGTTGCGAAACCTAACTCAAATTTTAGGGGCCCCTTTATGCATATATGATCAAAACTACATCAAGGCCAGCTCGATAAAAGTCCGAAGACGTCTGTGAAAAGTAGGAATTATTTTGGTGTTTTTTTTTTTTTTTTTTTTGGAAAAAAATGAAGGCAATTTTTTCTTGACATTTAATATAGCTGGAGATTTCTTATCTTCGAATTAGTGAAATTTGATAAAGAATATTTTTGTCTTTATGTCACTCTCCTAAAATGATTTTTTGTAGGAGAATTTGGCATAAACTTACACTCACCCTGAAATACGCTTTTAATGTTTATAAATTTGATAAGATTTAGACTTTTAATTTATTCCGGGTCCCATAGTAGATTTTTGTGACAAATAAAATACATAGCTTATTCTGAAACTTATAGTGAAATTTAGTGCAGATTATTACATCCCTGGACACTTTCTGTCTAAAACAAAGTTTTGCGTTACTTTCATGCATTAACTCGAAAAAAAGTCCAAAAATAATCTATGAAGAGTAGGTGATGTTTTCGATTATTTTTTTATTCTTTTTGTCAAAATTGAAGGCAATTTTTTCTTGATATGTAATGTAGCTAGGAATTTCTTGCCTTTGGCGACTTATAGCGAAATTTGATTAAGAATATTTTTGTCTTTATCGTCATTCTCCTAAAATGATTTCTTGTAGGAGATTTTGGCAAAAACTCACACTCACCTGGAAATATGCTTTTAATGTTTATAAATTTGATAAGATTTAGACTTTTAATTTATTCCGGGTCCCATAGTAGATTTTTGTGACAAATAAAGTGCAAAGCTTATTCCGAAACTTATAGTTAAATTTAGTGCAGACTATTACATCCCTGAACACTTTCTGTCTAAAACGAAGTTTTATTTTACTTTCATGCATTAACTCGAAAAAAAGTCCAAAAATAATCTATGAAGAGTAGGTGATGTTTTCGATTATTTTTTATTCTTTTTGTCAAAATTGAAGGCAATTTTTTTTGGATATGTAATATAGCTAGGAATTTCTTGCCTTTGGCGACTTATATTAAAAGTTGATTAAGAATATTTTTGTCTTTATCATCTTTTTTCTGAAATGTTGTTTTGTAGGAGAATTTTGCACAAACTCACGTCACCCTTAAATGTGCTTTTAATGTTTATAAATTTTATAAGATTTTGACTTTTAATGTATTCCGGATCCCATAGTAGCTTTTTGTGACAAATAAGGTATATAGTTTAATCTGAAACTCATCGTAAAATTTAGTGGAGAGTATTTCCTCCCTTGACATTTTATGTCTAAAACAAAGTATTGCGTTACTTTCATGCATTAACTCGAAAAAAAGTCCAAAAATAATCTATGAAGAGTAGGTGATGTTTTCGATTATTTTTTTATTCTTTTTGTCAAAATTGAAGGCAATTTTTTCTTGATATGTAATGTAGCTAGGAATTTCTTGCCTTTGGCGACTTGTAGCGAAATTTGATTAAGAATATTTTTGTCTTTATCGTCACTCTCCTAAAATGATTTTTTGTAGGAGAATTTGGCACAAACTCACGTCACCCTAAAATGTGCTTTTAATGTTTATAAATTTGATAAGATTTTGACTTTTAATGTAATGCGGATCCCATAGTAGCATTTTGTGACGAATAAGGTTTAAAGATTAATCTGGAACTCATAGTAAAATTTAGTGGAGAGTATTTCCACCGTTGACATTTTATGTCTAAAACGAAGTTTTGCGTTACTTTCATGCATAACCTCGAAAAGGAAAAAATAATAAAAAGCATTAGTACAAATTTTCGCTATTTTTTTTTTTGGTAAAATTGAAGGCAATATTTTCTTGATATATAATAAAATTGCAGATTTCTTTCCTTCGGCGACATATAGTCAAATTTGATGGAGAATATTTTTCTCCTTATTGTCATTTTTCTAAAATGATGTTCTGTAGGAGAATTTTTTCTTAAACTTACACTCACCCTAAAATGTGTTTTTAATGTTTATAACTTCCGTAAGATTTAGACTTTTAGTGTAGTGCCCAATAAGATAAAAAGCCTTTTGTGAGTCTTATAGTGAAATTCGGTGTAGATCATTTCCTCCCATGACACTTTCCTTCTAAAACGAAATTTTATATTACTTTCAGGCATTAAATCAAAAAAAGATCGAAAAAAATCCATTAAAAAATACTGAGAATTTTCGCAAATATTTTGTGGCAAAATTGAAACACATATTTTCTTAATATTTAAAAGAAATGGAGATTTCATTTCTTTGGTGACTTATAGTGAAATTTGATAAGGAGTATTTTTGTCCTTAACGTCATCCATCTAGAATTATGTTTTGTAGAATTTAGCATAAACTCACACTCATCCTAAAAGTTGTTTTTAATATTAATATATTTCTGGCGTTAAGGTAAAATAGATTTTTGGGGCATTCTGGGACCCAAAGTAGAATTTTATGACAAATAAGATATAAAGCTTTTTCTGAGACTTATAGTGAAATTTGGTGTAGATTATTTCCTCTCCCCACACTTTTTGTTTAAAACGACGTTTTATTTTACTTTGATGCATCAACTCGAAAAAGGCCAAGGAAATATCTATTAAAAATTAAGAAAAGAATTTTTTTAGCCAAAATTGAATGACATATTTTCTTGATAAATAATAAAATTAGAGATTTTCTTCCTTCGGGGACGTAGAGTCAAATTTTATAAAAAATATTTTTGTCATTATCGTTATTCTTCTAAAATGATTTTTTATAGGAGGACTTTGCATAAACTCACACTCACCTTAAGATGTGTTATTTTAATGATTCCTGGCGTTAAGGTCAGAGAGACTTTTGGTGTATTCTAGGACCTATAGTAGAATTTTATGACAATTAAGATATATAGTTTATTTTCAGACTTATAGTGAAATTTGGTTAAGAACATTTTCTTTTTGACACTTTCTCTCTGAATCAAAGTTTTATGTTACTTTTATGCATCAATTCGAAAAACGGCAGAGAAAAAAATCCATTAAAAATAATAATTATTTTGGCGTATTTTTGAAGACAATATTTTTTTGGTATATAATTGAAATAGGGATTTCGTTTCATTGGCGACTTATAGTGAAATTTGGTAAAGAATATTTTTGTCTCTGACATCATCCTTCTAAAATGATGTTTTGCAGGAGAATTTTGCATAAACTCACATGAAGTGTGGCTTTAACCCCAAAATGTGCTTTAATGTTTATGAATTCCTGGCGTTTGGGAAAGGTATATAGTTTTGGGGTACTCTGGGAGCCATGGTAGGATTTTATGACAAATAATTTTGTAAATTTTTTTGACTTGCTTCGATCCCGTTTAAATGAAGTTTTTAGCCATTTTTTAACAAAAGAACCAAAAAGACCCCTTTGGTGACTCTCGTGAGGGTTAAAATTTTCCACCATCAAAATAAAAATATATTAATAATATTGCCAAAGACACCATATACCTAAAATGTTAAGATTTCGGTAAATCTTAATTCGAATGTTTCCAAACGTATGGAAAGGGCGGAACTTCCTCCCTCTATTTGGGTTGCTTTGCCGATACACATGTCTTCTATGTTTTCAGCTCTACTTTCATAGCTACTGAGTTTTTTCACAAATTATTTATTTATTTATTTCATTTTATTTTTGCCTTATGTTGCCCTGACAGCAGTCTAGACTTACCATGAACCCTCCGCCTCCACTTGAGCTCCAATCTCCAAAATGTGGCCAAAGCCTAAATTTTCTGCCAATTTACCTTGAAATACCGCCGACATCGTTCATTTGTTTTGTCGTCGGTATTTTTTGTTGCAGCCAAGCTTCCAATGGTTGTTTTCCCTTCAACTGAAATGATTTTTGAAAATTTTTATTCAAAATAATTTCACTCAATATATCTACGATCTATCAAAGAGAAGTAAAGAGAGAATGCTCGTTGTTTTGTTTGTGGTTGCCTGTTGAGTAGTGGATCATTTGCATGAATAAGCCGCTGCGGTGGAAACTAAACGCTCTCCAGAAATTGTAGCTTTGTTTTGCAGTGAAGGCCGGTTGCCTCCAGCCGAATAAAGAAAAAAAAATCCCACAAACAGAAATTTCTTTGTCTCTCCTCCTTAGTGGTGTTTATTTTTTTATTTTGTCAGAATAGTTAGGGAATTCCCGTCAGCCAATTGAGGAAATTATAGTTACTTGTCGACATGGGCATGTTGTGAATGACGCTTGGCTAACTCCGCCATTTGGCATGTGGATCACTGTTGGAGTGTGAAGGACGGACAAGGTTGGGTATGTAAACATTCGAAGTAAATCGGCATAAACAGAGAATAAATAATATGTCATGGAATTCGACTAAGAAATAAATATCCATGAGTCGATCCAGACGTGTGATCGGACGACCATATGTTTGTCCATGTTAATTTGTAATCACCTTACAATGCGCAATTATGGATCGATCTTGATATATTTGAAATTGACGAAAACCAAAAAAATCTCCAGATTTTGCAGTTGCTCCACAGGTCACAATTTTAGAACAATCGACACAGAATTTCACATGGGGTAAGAGTTTTAGACTGCCTATTAATTTCAATAGTCATCGGAAACAATTTAAAGAGTGCAATGGACAAAAATTTTTGTGTGAAATTTTTTTGTGAATACCTATCAGCATGGCGGAGAGCGTAGATATAGAGTAGATGGCGCCGGTCAAAAATTGGAGATTTTTCCACAAACTCACTGATAGTAGTACCTTAACCCTAACATTCCCATTTAGTATATATGAATTCCTGGCATTTATATAAGATTTAGACTCTTTTATTTTATCATAACCTCCACCATAGCATGGAGGGTATATTAAGTTTGTCATTCCGTTTGTAACACCTCGAAATATACATTTAGACCCCATAAAGTATATAAATTCTTGATCAGCATAAAATTCTATGTCGATATTTATATACATATAATGTCTGTAGGACTTAAGGTATTGAAAATGGACCATGTAGATCCACATAACGGTACCTCCCTATTTTCGGTATTTTTTTGATTGAAGCGACATTATGCACCGGGAATGTTTCAAATTTGGTATTTGAAGTTTGAAATGGATACTACAGCCTATGACAGAAAATTGTCTGTACAGGTACACGCCTTCGTATAGCCCCCATATAACGGTACCTCCCGATATTCGGTATTTTGATGATTTTAGCGACATTATGCACCGGAATTGTTTCAAATTTGATATTTGAAGTTCGTAACTGATACTACAGCCTATGACAAAAAATTATCTGTGCAGGTCCACGCCTTCGTATGGCCCCCATATAATGGTATCTCCTGATATTCGGAATTTTGATGATTTTAGCGACATTATTCACCGGAATTGTTTCAAATTTGGTATATGAAGTTCGTAATGGATACTACAGCCTGAGACAGAAAATTGTCTGTGCAGGTCCACATCTTCGTAGAGCCCCTATACAACGGCACCTCCCTATATTCGGTATTTTGAAGAGTTTAGCGACATTATTCACCGGAATTGTTTCAAATTTGGTATTTGAAGTTTGAAATGGATCCTACAGCCTATGACAGAAAATTGTCTGTGCAGGTCCACGCCTTCGTATAGCCCCCATATAACAGGAACCTCCCGATATTCGCTACTTTGATATTAGGCACATTATTCACCGGAATTGTTTCAAATTTGGTATTTGGAGTTCGTAATGGATACTACAGCTTTAGGCAGAAAATTGCCTGTGCAGGTCCACCTCTTCGTATAGCCCCCATATAACGGTACCACCAGAAATTCGGTATTTTGATTATTTTTGCGACATTATTCACCGGAATAGTTTCAAATTTGGTATTTGAAGTTAATAGTTGATACTACAGCCTATGACAGAAAATTGTCTGTACAGATCTACGTCTTCGCCCCCATACAACGGCACCTCCCTATATTCTGTATTTTGATAATTTTAGCTACATTATTCAGCGATTTTTTTTTTCAAGTTCCCCATTTGAAAATTGTAATGGCTTATGACAAAAGTTGCCGATACAGGTTCATGGCGTCGTATAGACCCTAATATAACGGCTACATTAGGTATTTTTAAGATTTTAACAGAATATTTAATGGATTTTTGTTTTTTTTTTTTTGAAAATTGCCAATTTCGTTCCAAATGATGGAGGTTATTCAAAGTTCGGCCCGGCCGAATTTAGAGCTTTTTAACTGTAAGTTCTACTTTAATAATCTGTTGGATTTTCCCTGCATTAATCACAAAAATACATGGAATTATGTCGCACATTGTTATTCTCTCTCTCTCACTCACTCACTCGTAATTATAATTGTTGTTTCCTTTAATGTTGGCATGCCTTCGTTTCGTTTGATTTGACCAATGGACATTGTTGCAATTCCATTGGAATATTGTAGAATAATCTGAAATGTTATTACCGAAATATTCTTCTTCTGGTCTTCTATGAGAAGACCTTTATTATTGGGCTCTATAAATGGGAATGGGCCAAAATACCGCAGAGGAATATTCGGGCAGCGTGTAACGGTTTCATTGGCCGTCTGAAGGCCATAATTCGTGCCAAAGCATCCTGCCAAAGGAAGGAAGCGGGATCGACCCATAGTTACTTTTGAGGATCTCCATAGAATCACTTTTTAAGTTGATTTATGCATGTCAGTCCCTCCGCCCGTCTGTCCATGTTTTCTTGTGAACAAAATGCAGGTCGCATTTATTATCCCATTTGAGATGAAATTTTCCCAACAACATTTGTTTGGCTCAAGGACGAACCCTATTGAAATTGGAGATAATCGGTCAAAATTTAGATATAGCTCCCATATATATCTTCGTCCGATTTGCCTTTTATTGTCCACCAAACGTGTAATATCAGCCCGAATAGTATAGAATTTTGCACATACAACCAAATTAGGCCTGAAAATAAGTATGCCAAATTTGATCGAAATCGGTTCAGATATAGCTATAGCTCCCATATATATTGTTCATCCGATTTGTTATTTTTGTCCTCCGCAGCCGTAATATGCACTTTGCAACAACAATATTTGGGGAAATATATCAAATACAGCTCAGAAATACATTTGCTAAATTTTATCGAGTTCGGTTCAGATTTGGATATAGCTCCCATATATAACTTCGTCCGATTTACCTCTTATTGTCGAAATCGGTTCAGATATAGATATAGCTCCCATATATATTGTTCATCCGATTTGTTATTTTGGTCCTCCGCAGCCGTAATATGCACTTTGCAACAACAATATTTGGGGAAATATATCAAATACAGCTCAGAAATACATTTGCTAAATTTTATCGAGTTCGGTTCAGATTTGGATATAGCTCCCATATATAACTTCGTCCGATTTACCTCTTATTGTGCACCAAACGTCTAATATTTGCTCAAATGGGATGAAATTTAGCACTTACGACCGAATGGAGTCTAGAAGCTAGTATGTCAAATTTGGTGAAGATCGGTTCAGATATAGCTATAGCTCCCACATACATTGTTCATCCGATTTGTTATATTTGTTACCCACAGCCGTAATATGCACTCCGTAACAGCGATATTCAGGGAAACATATGACTAACGTTATTCTTTTTTCTTATTTTGAGATCGCTTTCTTTCTCTATGCCAATTAAATAAATACTGATAAAATTCTACTCGTGCCGATGTTGGGTGTATTTTTACTATGCTATTTTTTATCGTAGCTTTAAAAACCATATTTGTAGAAGCGTTTAGTTACTCTTTGTCAATGGCAAAAGAGAAATCTAGAATTTATTTCAAATATCTCTTGAGTTCAAAATGGAAATTCGATACTCTTCAGATAGCAAGGGCTTTGCACAAATGGTTTACTCCTAAAAGTATGCTTTAGACAAAAATTATTTATGGACAGTGATCAAATATTGTATGGTTGTAAGGGAAAAGGTATTATATATTGAAACAACGTTTTTGGAGCAAATTTGAAATATTTTAAACTGGATATAGTTCCAAAGACTTTTAGTTTAAACTCAGTTAGGAAAAGTCAAAAGTCGGGCGGGACCGATTATATGATACCTTACACGACTACGCATATTTAGTAGAGCTTCCGTAACAGAAGATTTTATATTGTGAATTTATTTAAAGTAGATCATAACACCGATTAACCTTATTTGAATGTGTATCATAGCTTTATAGTAGTCACAATTTAGAAAGTATATCCCACCCTGAATCGATTTTCAACAAATTGGTCGGAGGCTTTTGTACCTCTGACTTCGATAAGGATTATATTAAAAAAACATTTATTGGAGCAATAGATATACCGGACCGAGCTTCAGCAAATAGTAAAATTCAGTGGAATATGAAAAAATCTATTCAATTTGGGCTGATATTATAAATGTGGTGAGCAATAACCGTAAAATCGGATGAAGATGTATATCCAAGCTATATAAAAATCTAAAACAATCTCAATAAAATGTGGCAGAGGTTTTTTGGAGCTGTATCTGATGTCCGGTATCAATTATTATTATTATGGAGTGCATATTATGCATGTGAGTGACTTAAAACCCCTAATCAAATGAAGCATATATAGTTATATCTGAAGCGATTTTCTCCAAATTCGATGTAGTTACTTCTAGATTGAATTCGGTCAGATGTGCCACAATTCACTCGATTTGGGCTGATATAAGCCATTTGGTGTACGATAAACCTGAATTCAGATAAAGATATATATGGGAGCTATATCCAAATCTGAACCGATCCTGACAAAATTTTAGGCACTTATTTCTGAGCTGCTCCTGATATCTGGTACCAAAGATCATTGTTGTGGAGAGCATATTACGTATCGGTTGAAACATATGTGTGGGAGCTTTGGCTATATCTGAACCGATTTTCACTAAAATTTGAAGTACTTGTTTCTAGGATTTATTCAGTCGAAATTTTAAAGATTCAGTTCATTTGGGTTGGCATTAGCCATTTGGTGCACAATAAATCTGATATAGGATATATATGTACATATATAGGAGCTATATCCAAATCTGATCCGAACTCGATTAAATTGGATAGAGGCTCCATAAGTTATCTGGTACCAAATATCATTTATGTGAAGAACATATCACGCATGTGAAGGATATAAAATCCAAATCGGATGAAAGATATATACAGGGTGAGATGAAAAAACTGCAACCAACTTCAGACTGCTGTCATTTCTAAGGCACTCGGCCGTCAGCGTTTAAACTTATTCCAGTGTCAGCTCAATATATTGTTTACAAGCATACAAAAGCATTTTGGTGAGAATTTTCCAGAAAAAAAGTTTTTCGTGATATGTTTGGCTGGAAAACCACAAGTGGCTATCGTTAGAGCACTTCAGCAGTTAAATGTGAATAAATCTTATGTGACTCGTACCATCACTCGTTACCGTGATACTGGCAGCGTAGCCCGACGTCAAGAAAGTGAATTGAAGAAAGAAGAAAGAGCAACATCAGCAGAAATAATTCGAAAATTAAAGAAGCGACTTGATCGAAACCCGCGTCGAAGCGGAAGGAAAATGGCTCGGGTGCTGAACATATCGTAATATTCCATTTGGCAAATATTGAAAAATGAGCTCGGGGTAAAGCCATTGAAATTCCAAAAAGTACAAGAAGTTACACCGCACCACACAGAAAGAAAATAGACTCAAACGAGTTAAAGAGTTGTTTAGCTTGGCCGAAAGTGGTGAACTGCCGAATTTGGGTTTCTCCGATGACCGATGAGAAAACATTCGTTGTCCAGCAGTTTGTAAAAAAAAACAAAATGATCGTGTTTACTTGCCAAAGAGGTCAGCTGAAAATGTGCAACTTCGGTTGGCGACCAGAACTTAAGCGCCGGCCATGGTGATGGTGTGGGCCGCCATAACAGCCGATGGTCGCTCTCCGCTCGTATTAATCGACCATGGCATCAGAATAAATGCCGGATATTATCGCGAAAATATTCTGGAGGATGTATTAAAGCCTTGGGCATGCAAACATTTTGGTCGCAGACCTTGTACAGACACCTTGTACACACTTGTATACCTTGTCACGCCACCCAAGAAAGGTTACAAAATGAAGTTCCTCGCTGCATTTTCAGCGCACAATGGCAACCAAAATCACCGGATACCAATCCGTTGGACTATGGTGTCTGGAGTATTTTGGTTGGCACTAAAAAATATCAAAAGTATCAATCACCTCAAGCAAGCACTTTGCCGGGAATGGGCCAAAATACCGCAGAGCAACATTCGGGCAGCGTTTGACGGTTTCATTGGACGTTTCAAGGTCATAATTCGTGCCAAAGGTGACCAATTCAAATAAATCTAAACTTATTCTAAAATTGGATGCTATTTCCTACATTTTTGCTTTCATTCAATAAAATTAAAAAAGAATGTAAAAATTATGGCGTTTGACTATGTTGCAGTTTTTTTTATCCATCTTTACACCAGACCTTGGAATAACAACAAGTAAAAAAGCTGTAAGTTCGGCCGGGCCGAAATTTGAATGCCCTCCACCATTTGGAACGAATCTGGCAATTCTCAAAAACAAAAAAATCCGTTAAAATTCTGTTAAAATCTTTAAAATACCAAATGTAGCTATTATATTAGGGTCTATACGACGACATGAACCTGCGTAGGTAACATTTGTCATAAGCCATTACAATATTCAAAGGCGAAACTTAAAAAAATCGGCTATAATGTCGATAAAATCTTAATACCGAATATCGGGAGGTACCGGGGGCTATACGAAGACGTGGACCTGCACAGACAATTTTCTGTCATAGGCTGTAGTATCCATTACGAACTTCAAATACCAAATTTGAAACTATTCCGGCGAATAATGTCGCTAAAATCATCAAGATACCGAATATCGGGAGGTACCGTTATATGGGGGCTATACCAAAACGTGGACCTACATGACCCATTTTCAATACCAAAAGTCCTGCAGACATAACATACATTAAAGGAAAACTTTTTCAATCTACGTCAATTCGTTCGGAAGACGGGCGGACATCGCTAAATCGACAATAGAATTTCATGCTGATCAAGAATATATATACTTTGTGGGGTCTAAAATGTGTATTTCGAGGTGTTACAAATGGAATTACAAACTTAATATACCCTCCATACTATGGTGGAGGGTATAAAAATATAGGGATGTGTAATATTTGAAGACAATCGGACTCTTACATAACATTTTATAAAAGTTGTAATTATTCAAAATTTTAACCATTTGTGGGGGAGGTACTTGATGGAGTCGACCGATATTATCCATTTTTGCACCTGACCTAGAACTCGAGCATATATTAGAATTTGCATAGTTGTACCAAAATCGGATTATCCTTCTTTTTCTGTGCAGTAAAATAATTTTTTTAAATTTCGACCTTTTGTGGGGGAAGTACCAGAAGGAAGGGACTGATATTACCTATCTTCGAACTCGATCTAAGTTTGACAATATTATTACGAGAGTTGTCGTGCGCACCAGCCAGCCAGCCAGACGGACGGACATCGCTAGATCGACTCCAAACATTCAGAATCGGATTTGGACCAAAGAGACATGTATTGAGGGTATAATAAATATGTAGTCATATCTGCACGCCACTGTATATATTGAATTCACGGGTAACCCTATTGTCAGTTCGCCGACGCATCTATTATAGCACTTAAACACGAGTAGAATGTAATTTAGTATTAAAATCGATATAACTCTCTATTTTTTATAAGAAACCGATTTTGTGTGTGTGTATGTGTGTGTGCGTTTGTGTGGCACTCTGTAAACAAATGATCGATTTTAAGAGCCCCATGTGGGACTTACCCCAATAGAGAAATTGGGGTAAATCCCTATTACAAATCAAAAAAACCGCAATATGAGTGTTCCGAACCACTCGCACACTTCAAGTTGTGGTAGGTCTAATTTTTTTTTTTTTTTTTTCAAAATTAAAAACAAAACATTATTTTCTAAACATTTATATTTACAATTATTATGACGAATCTGAATATTGTTCAAAACCCTTACATTTGGGATTATCGGATAACAAATGCTCTACGCCTAAGACACGGGCAATCATTCCATATTGTCCTGTGATTTTTGGGCCCGTTAGCCTGGGCAGGACATGGGCTGTGCGATAGCCATATTTGAATAAGAAGATGCCATCTTTGGCCATTTTCACGGATTTCTTGGTAAAACCCAAGGCCAATTTGAAAGGTTTGGATATGTCGTCAAAGGGGAAATCTCCCTTGGTTTCTTCATCGCCCCATCTTAAAGGGAAAGGGGTAATGGATATTTATAATGTGTATTTTTCCGGTAAAGCAAATTTTACTTACTCCACCACATCAGGATTCTTTTTGGGTAATTTGGAATTTCTTATGATTTGCCTCAAATTAAATCTCAAATTTATGTGAACCTCAATGCGTTTCGAGTTCGTGGCATTGTGGAAATTAATTCTTAGCCAACCATCTGCTTTACCCAGCAATTTCATGGTCAGCAACATTATGTTGCCCGGCTGGAGTGGACATGGTATGTCGTGAGTAAAATCCAGGCCATCCTTCTCTTGGCATATCTGGGCCGGCGGCCATGTTAGGGCAAAGTATTTCCGATGATCCACTTGATTCAGAGTTATCAAATTTCCATCGATCATCAGGTAAGCTAATTTCATATGGGGCCCGGTGTAGCGCACAAATGTCAATGACTTGCCATTGATGGCGACATAAAATTTCTTCTCATCCACAGCTATAGTAACGCTAAAATGTTGACGAAATTTCTCCGTTTCAAATTCCTCACTGTCCACCTCCAACCATTGGCCATTTAGCAATTGTTTAAATTCGATTTTTTCATTGGCAATATCGATCAGCATGTGGAATGGTATATCAAACATTTCCACTTCACCACATCCACCCAGGGCCAAGGAAATGCTCAACCTGAAAGTGGAAAAATTAGAGGATATCTCTATTTTTTCTCAATTTTAAGAACTTGCCATGAATCCTTATTTTTCGCCCTGCCACCTATCTGCAGCAGATGGCCAAAGCTTAAGTTTTCAATAAGTTTTCCTTGAAATAACACCGACATATTGTAGTGCCAGCGGGCCTGACTAAAAGTAAAATAATATTCTTAATAGCGTTTTTTCCGCTATTCGCACGTTCTATTTGCCAGCTGTAGTAGGAAACCCCGCAAACCGCACGCACATACCGATTTTAGTCTGTCATGTATTTTTATTCGCATAATAAAACCAAAAAAGAAAACCCAACAACATTACCGAACAAACGAATATGTTCAAGCTAGAAGCATACAAAAGTACTGAAAATGGAGGATTTGAAAAAAAAATCTTAAGTTTGGAAGGTGCCATTAGGAATATTTTCTAGAAATTCGTATTAAAAAATCCTTTGTTGGAGCTCACTACGGACCTTTTTATACCCTCCACCATAGTATGGATGATATTTTAAGTTTGTCATTCCGTTTGTAACTCCTCGAAATATACATTTTAGACCCCACAAAGTATATATATTCTTGACAGCATAAAATTCCACGTCGATTTAGTGATGTACGCCCATCTTGAAAATCACTCTAGCTTCCGAACGAAATGAAGTAGATTGATAAAATTTTACTCAAATGTTTGTTATGTCTGCAGGACTTTTGTTGTTGAAAATGGGCCAAGTAGGCCCACGTTTTGGTATAGCCCCCATACAAGGGTACATCCCGTTATTCGGTATTTTTTGATTTTGGCGACATTATGCGACAGAAAATTTTCGGTGCAGGTCCACGTCTTCACATAGCCCCCATTTAACGACACTTCCCGATATTCGGTATTTTCATGATTTTAGCGACTTTATTTACCGGAATTGTTTCAAATTTGGTATTTGAAGTTCGTAATGAATACTACAGCCTATGACAGAAAGTTCTCTGTGCAGGTCCACTCCTTCGTATAGCCCCCATATAATGGTACCTCCCTATATTCGGTATTTTGATGATTTTAGCTACATTGTTCACCGATTTTTTTCAAGTTTCGCATTTGAATATTGTAATGGCTTATGATGAAAGTTGCCTATGCAGGTTCACGTCGTCGTATAGACCCTAATATAACGGTTACATTCAGTATTTTTAAGATTTTAACAAAATTTTTAGCGGATTTTTTTTTTTTTTTTTTTTTTGAAAATTGCCAAGTTCGTTCCAAAAAGTGGAGGGTATTAAAAGTTCGTCCCGGCGAAACTTACAGCTTTCTTACTTGTTGTTATTCAAAACTTTGGGCCTTTGTGGGGAGAGGTACCAGAAGAAATGGTCCGATCTTTACAACCTTTACAACAGATCTTGTGCGAATAGAAATATTGAGATGTGCCAAATCTGAATGTAATCCGATGTTAGTTTTGCGTTTTATGAGCTTCATGGATATTCAAAATTTTGACCACCTTCGCACCAGACCTTGGGTTAATAAAAATATTGTGATGTGTGTAATTTGAAGACATCCGGACCCTTACATTTCATTTTATAAGAGTTTTGATCCTTTGTGGAGAAGCTACTTGATGGAGTGGACCGATATTGTCCATTTTCGCCTGACCTGGCATAGCACTGATAAAAAATATTAGGATTTTCAAAGTTGGAGCAAAATCGGATTATCCTTTCACTCTCTGTGCAGTAAAATATTTTCTTTGAAAATGTCGACCTTTTGTGAGAGAGGTACCAGAAGGAGTGTACCAATATTGTCCATTACGATGTACCAAGTTTGGACCAAATCGGACACTCCCTTCGAGAGTTATCGTGCGTACCAGCCAGACAGACAGACGGACGGACGGGCGGACATCGCTGGATCGATAATTAATGATCGGGAATTCATGATTTATGATGTCTCATAGACAAGAAGTTAAACGACTCGTGAACAATAGGGAACGATGGTGGCGGGGTTTTCACGATTTGTACTCGAGTGGTTGATGTGAAGTGTGATTAGCCAATAATTCGAAGGTGATCGGGTACTCGTGGATGACCGTCGAAGGTTGGCAAATGAGGAATTTCAGGAATTACGATGTTTGGGTTCGGGGTGATGATGATTTGCAGGTTATCGAAAATTTGTAGATGCTCGTCAAATCTTGATTGGTACGAAATATTAGGATTTATGATACTTACGTTCGGCGTAGTGACGATTCAAATGTAATCGAGATATGGTGAATGCTCAACAAATGTTGCTATGCTGCGTTCAATATATTGACGATTTGAGGGTGGACGGGAACTTATGGTTGTCGCTTAACGATGGGTTGAATGTTACCAGAGAAAACGAGGTTGGTGCTCTTTGTGACGTTCGGAAAGTTAGCAATTTGGGGATAGTCGGGGCTAACGGAGTAGGTGGTTGGGATGTTGATGTGCAGGAGGTGAATAGGAGAATTGTGGTATAATCGATGGCAGTTCACTGTGGAAATGCTCGGGACTAGCTGCAGCCAGGTCTTCGTAGACGGATTCGGATTCGTTCGGGTTTGGCAGCACATTGTTGCTATGCATAGACCTTCGAAAATGGATGGATGGAGTACTCGTTCGGACTCGACAGCTCACTGAGAATAGATTCGGCAATCGAATTCTAGGCCTTTGTAGGTGGATCGAAACTCGTTCGGTTTCGGCAGCTCACTGTGGGTATATTCGGGTCGTCTACAATAGCTAGGTAACTTTTCTAGCTAGCACTACTGTTTATTCGAGTTAAGGTGTTTGTTAGGCGGAGGACGGCAAATGATTCAGGAAATTCTGAATCGATTTTGACGTGGACATTTTTTATTGCTATAGAGTGCATGATCGAGAAGGATTATATTAAAAATATATTCTCCATTTCGGCTGATGTTAGATTTATTTCCACAATAAACCTGAAATCAAATAATTGCTGTGGAGTGCATATTACTCATGTGAGGAACTTAAAACCCAAAATCGGATGAAACATACAGCTGAACCGACTTTTAAGCAATTTGAAGTACTTGCTTCTAGACTGCATTCGGTTGAATTTGCCAAAATGCTGGTCATTTGGACTATTATTGGTCATTTGGTGCAAAATTAACCCGAAATCGGTTGAAGATATATATTAGGGCTATATCTAAATTTTAACCGATTTTGAAAACATTTGACAGAGGTATTTCTGTGCTGTATCTGATATCTGGTACCAAATATCATTCTTGCGGAGTGCATATTACGAATGTGAGAGACTTAAACACCAAATAGGATGAAACATACATAGACTCAAAAGAGCTAAAGGGTTGCTTCGCTTGGCCGAAAGTTGTGAACTGCCTTGGTTTTCTCCCATGGGAAAATATTCGTTGTCCACAAGTTTGTAAACAAACAAAATGACAGTGTTTACTTTCCAAAGAGGTTAGCTTAAAATGTTCACCTTCGGTTAGCCACCAGAAAAAATACCAAAGTGTCGATCACCTGAAGCAAGCGCTTCGCCGGGAATGGGTCAAAATAGCGCAGAGCAACATTCGGGTAAGGTGTGACGGTTTCATTTAATAAAATTTAAAAAAAAAAAGTATAAAATTGTGGCTTTTGACTTTGGTGCAGTTTTTTTTATCTCACCCTGTACATATGGAAGCTATATCTAAATATGAACGATTATCTTTGACCATTCATTCACTTAACGGCAAATTTTGTGCCATTTTGTAGTTTTCGAAGAATCATAGTAAATTTCAGAATTCCAGACGCAATTCCAAAAATGGTTACTATACCTTTCTTAGCCTCCTTCTCTCCACTCCAGACACCAACAGTAACCTTGATACCAAATTTCAGAATTCCATCTCTATACCAACACCCAAGGGCACATTCTGTGGCATTTTACACTTTTCGTACACATTTCCAAAACCACATCCATATCTCAATCCCAGATACCAACAGCGACCCCAATTTCAAATTTCGAGATCCCAATACCCAATTTTGTACCACTTCGTACTTTTCCTACAATTACGATACACATTTCCAAAACCACCTCCATATAATTACCACAGACACCAACAGTGACATCTATAATAAATTTCAGGATTCCAGCCATATTCCATCACCCATTTAGTACGATTTTGGACTTTTCGTACAATTGTTGGACGTATGTAATCTAAAAATTAAATTCCAGAATATTATCTCCATCCCTTCACCAAATACCAAATTTAGTACCATTTTTGACTTCTAGTACAATTATTGGACGCCACCGCCAAATCTCAACACACATATGCCATCAGTAGTCCTAAATATTAAATTTCAGAATTTTATCTCCTTCCGTTCATACAATTCCAAATTTAGTACCATTTAGTATATTTCGTACAAATATTGGACGAATTTTCAAACCTCTGCCAAATCTCAACATACAGATGTCATCGGTAATCTAAATATAACATTTCAGTATTTTATCTCCATCCCTTCATATAATCCCAAATTTAGTACCATTTAGTACCTTTTTATACCCTACACCACATAGTGGTAAGGGTATTATGCCTTTGTGCATTTGTTTGTAACATGGAGAAGGAAACGAGATAGACCCATAGTTACTTTTGAGAACCTTCATAGAATCACTTTCTGAGTCGATTTATGCATGTCCGTCCGTCTGTCCGTCCGTCCGTCCGTCCGTCTGTCCATGTATTCTTGTGAACAAAATGCAGGTCGCATTTATTATCCGATTGAGATGAAATTTTCCAAACAATATTTTTTTGGCCCAAGGACGAACCCTATTGAAATTGGTGAGAATCGGATCAAATTTATATATAGCTCCCATATATATGTTCATCCGATTTCGGTTTAAATGTGCACCAAATGTCCACTATCAGCCCAAATTACCTGAATTTTGGCACACCCAACCGAGTTCGGCCTAGAAGCAAGTATATCAAATTTGGAGAAAATCGGTTCAGATATAGCTATAGCTCCCATATATATCTTTCATCCGATTTGATCTTTAAGTCCCTCACATTCCTACTATGCACTCCACAACCGTGATATTTGGTACCAGGTATTAGATGGAGCACAGAAATAGGTGTTTTAAATTTTATCGAAATCGGTTCAGATTTGGATATAGCTCCCATATATATCTTCATCCGATTTCGGGTTAATTGACCACCAAATGGCCAATATCAGCCCAAATGGCCCGAATTTTGGCACATGTGACCGAGATTAGCCTTAAAGCAAATACAACAAATTTGGAGAAAATCGGTTCAGAAACAGCTATAGCTCCCATATATATGTTTTATCCGATTTGGTGTTTAAGCCTCTCACATTCGTAATATGCACTCCACAAGAATGATATTTGGTACCAGATATAAGATACAGCCCAGAAATAGCTGTTTGTAATTTTATCGAAATCGGTTCAGATTTGGATATAGCTCCCATATATATCTTCATCCGATTTCGGGTTAATTGTGCACCAAATGGCCGATATAAGTCCAAATGGACTGAATTTTAGTACATCGGACCAAATTCAGCCTAGAAGCAAGTATATCAAATTTGGAGAAAATCGGTTCAGATATAGCTATAGCTCCCATATATATCTTTCATCCGATTTGATCTTTAAGTCCCTCACATTCCTACTATGCACTCCACAACCGTGATATTTGGTACCAGGTATTAGATGGAGCACAGGAATAGCTGTTTTAAATTTTATCGAAATCGGTTCAGATTTGGATATAGCTCCCATATATATCTTCATCCGATTTCGGGTTAAATGTGCACTAAATGGTCAATATCAGCCCAAATCACCTGAATTTTCGTACATAAGACCGCATTCAGTCTAGAAGCTAATACGTAAAATTTGGAGAAACCCGGTTCAGAGATAGCTATAGTTCGTAAAATGCACGATAGAATTAGATAGATTTTGATTTTGTACCAAATATCTCATAGAGCTCTGAAATGCCCTGTATAAACCTTTTTACGAGAGCTCTACTAAGTATGCATAGTGGTGTAGGGTATCATATAGTCGGCCCCGCCCGACTTTTGAGCTTTCCTTACTGGTTTACAAATACTGAATGCATTTCCAAACCACCACCAAATCTCAACACACAGATGCCATCGGTAATCTAAATATTAAATTTCGGAATTTTATCTCCATCCCTTCACCCAATACCAAATTTAGTACCATTTAGTACTTTTCGTAGAAATATTGGACGCATTTCCAAACCACCTTTATGTGTCCAGATTACAGATGAATAGCGAATATAATACCAAATGTCATATTCCAAGCGCAGTCTGTTCATTCAATACCAAATTGTACCAAATATAGTACTGTTTAGTACTTTTCGTGCAGTTGTAGTACACATTTCAAAAGCCACTTCTTTATCACAAACTTACCACCAAAAGGTACTCCAATACCAACATTTTAAAATTCCAGCTTCAGCCGTTCACCCAAAACGAAATTGTACCAAATTTCGTACCATTTAGTTCCGTTCTTCCTGTTCGTACATATTTTTTAAACTAGCCTCATATTTGAACCTTATTTCCCAGACTTAATTCTCATACCGAATTTCAAGTTTTTTTACCTCTATCCGTTCACAAAATTCCAAATGGTACCACATTTAGTGCATTTTAGTACTTTTGGCACTTTCGCTTTTGTTTTGTCCATCCAACACAACATAGGAGACTCTCATTCCAAATTTCAGATTTCCAATTCTATTCTTTCGCCAAATACCAAAGATAGTACTATTTGGTACTTTTCGCACTTTTTAGTACGCCCTTCTAAATGTACAGTCAAACTACACAAAAGGTGATCCTAATGCCAAATTTTAAACTTCAAAATTAATCCCTTACCCAAATACAAAATTTGGTACCACATGGTACTTTTTAGTACTTTTTTCCAAAATCACCTCCAAATATCAATCCTAACAGTGATCCTAATGTCGATTCGCAGATTTCAAGCAGTATCCATTCACGCATTACCAAATTTAGTACTTTTCCTACCCAGGATGTTTTAAAACAATCTTCCTATCTCGCCGAGATCTTACCGATCTAGTCTGTCCACATTAATTTTTAATTTAATCCAAATTATTTACAATTTCTAATTGAGAGTAATTTTCAAACCCGGCGCATGAAACATCCTCCATTTGGACATGCTGCAGTTCCGCAACCCTAACATTCAGGCCATCTATACCGAATAATTTAAGGCCTCCAATAAGGGGTAAAATGTCAGGTGATCTGTAGGAGATTGAAAACAAGAAGACACCATCCTTGGCTAATTTTAATTCGTTTTCTCCAAAGGCGAAGGCCAGTTTGAACGGCTGTAGAAATTCCTCAAATGGAAAGCGATCTAATTCGTGCTCCTCGCCAAAGCTGGAAAATTAAAATACAAAAATACTTAGAGACTACAGTATAGCCTGGATAATTGGATAAATCTAGATTTGTCTTCCTTCTACACACATACCGAAAATGTTCTCCATTCGGAATGGTTTTAGTATTCCAACAAAGTCGCCTATTTTTGAAAGCCACCCTCAAGTGAAGCTCCTGCATTTCCACATCATTGATATTCCGCAAATGGGCAATGAAACTTCCATTATCACTGCCACTCAACTCAGCTCCAATGACCATGACGTGACCCGCTTTGAACGGCATTGGTACATCCCCGCTAAAGTGAAGACGTTCTTCGAATACCTGAATCGGTGGCCATACCACCGGAAAATATTTCCGATGATCAACTTGACACACCGTCTCAAGGCCACCATCAATTTCCAACTGGGTCAAAAGACCCAGACGTAAACGATATTTATAGGAGATCTCCAGAGCATTGTTGATGCTGATGTGGAATTTTTCATCGGCCATCACAATGTAGATTCGAAATTCCTTGGTGAACTGTGACGTGTCAAAACCTTTTGATTCCTCATCACACCATTCACCGTTTATGTACTTCTTGAATAGAATCATGTCCTTGAGGAAATTCACGGAGATTTGTAGGCCAATATTTGAATCATCATCGGCGGTGGCTTCGCCAGCCTTGAGTGTTATTAGGAATCTGTAATCAGAGAAATTAAATACAAATTTTCTATAGAAAATCCTAAAACCCCCCAACAACTGGGGGACACCAGATTTTCTTTAGAAAATCCTGAAACCCCCAACAACTGGGGGTCACCAGATTTTCTTTAGAAAATCCTGAGACCCCCCAACGAGTGGGGCTTACCAGATTTTCTTTAGAAAATCCTGTGAAACCCCCTTAGGAGGGGGGTCACCAGATTTTCTTTAGAAAATGCTGTGAACCCCCCTTAGGAGGAGGGTCACCAGATTTTCTTTAGAAAATGCTGTGAACTCCCTTAGGAGGAGGGTCACCAGAATTTCTATAGAAAATCTTGATACCCCCCTTAGGAGGAGGGTCACAAGATTTTCTATAGAAAATCCTGATACCCCCCTTAGGAGGAGGGTCACGAGATTTTCTATAGAAAATCCTGAGGGTCACAAGATTTTCTATAGAAAATCCTGAGGTCACAAGATTTTCTATAGAAATCCTGATACCCCCTTAGGAGGAGGGTCACAAGATTTTCTATAGAAAATCCTGATACCCCCCTTAGGAGAAGGGTCACAAGATTTTCTATAGAAAATCCTAATACCCCCCTTAAGAGGGGGTCACAAGATTTTCTATAGAAAATCCTAATACCCCCCTTAAGAGGGGGTCACAAGACTTTCTATAGAAAATCCTAATACCCCCCCCCCCTTAAGAGGGGGTCACAAGATTTTCTATAGAAAATCCTAATGCCCCTTTTTCTATAGGAAATCCTAATACCCCTTTTTCTATAGAATATCCTGTTGACCCCCCTAAGGAGGGGGCTCACAAGATTTTCTATAGAAAATCCTGTTGACCCCCCTAAGGAGGGGGCTCACAAGATTTTCTATAGAAAATCCTGTTGACCCCCCTAAGGAGTGGGCTCACAAGATTTTCTATAGAAAATCCTGTTGACCCCCCTAAGGAGGGGCTCACAAAATCCATTGGAGACCCGTAGATTGGCCTTAGGGTGTAAGCCCAATTTCCTTACCTCTTGGCTTCCTTCTTGGCTCTGCCAGATAATTCCAAAACATGGCCAAAACGCAAATGTTCAGCAAAATTGCAACGAAAAACTATGTCCGACATTATTTCTTTTCAACGAGCTTTCGCCGAGTTGACCAAGCAGCGACTGATGGATATGTCTCTCAAACCGTGTTGGGTTTAAAAAAAAATGTGGTCAGACATTCTAATTTTAGTTCAATAAAAATTTCATATGAAATATGAATCATTTGGGGTGTTAGGGTTGCGTAAAACATAGATTGGCGAATTGGTTTATTGCACTCAAGAGAAACCCAGAGAAAAATACAAAAATAACTACAGCGAACTTGCCCTCACAGTCATAATTCAAATAATTTTAACTAATTAAATATCTGTGATTAAGGGGTGTGAGATTCTCTCACTCCTCACTGCCCAGCATTACTCACAGTTGCCCTCATCTGAACCTGAAATATCCTTAAAAATAACAACAACGCCTGCTAACACTGACCATCTGCTTAAGACAATCCATCTTTGACGCTGCCAACCAAAACCCCCCAACGCCCACCATTCGTAGACAAATGCGCCGCGTAAAGACAGATTAATGCCCGAACACAAGTGCCAAAGCATAAAACCGATGAATGTTGCAGCTTAGAATGCTAAGCAGAAAATGTAACAAAGCTAAGAGGCGATAATACCTCAAAACAAATGACTGGGTAATTTCTCAATATTCGAAAATAGAAATTCAAGAGCAAAGGAAGAGAGTTGTGAGAGAAGAGATTACAGTGTGGCGAAGTTGGAAAAAACATCAAAGAGGGAAAAGAGAGATCCAAGATTTTTTGGTGAGATTTAGATTTCATTTCCAAATTTAATTCAAAAATTTACTGCTCACAAGCGATTTCGAAAACAGCGGTTTGGTCCATTATATCATTCCAGCAAACACTTCCCCCACTGTCCAGTTTCTTCCCACCGTGCCTAAGATGTTAAAGGAACTTTCTTGGAATTTCTTTCACTTTAAGGATTCCTTGACACCAACATCCCAAAATGAGCAGCCAAAGAACAGAAAACCATATGTTCTCTACCATGACCATAATGACTATCATCATCACCATCATGGTTATCATTCCATTCAAACTCATGGAATGTTGGCATCACTTGTCATCGCCCACAGCCATCATTTGTCCGACAGATGAATTGGCATTAATGTGTCCGCTTTCAAAAATGATTTGTTATTTTATTTCAGCAACGCTAAGCGAGTCATCAGAAATATTTGCTGATTTGAGAAAAACTAAATCATTAGAGAAAGAGATAAAATCTAAGGTCAATAGTTTGAATGCCATAATTGAAGGACAGCCATGACTAAAAATGCGATTTTGTGAAGTGTAAAAATACGTTTTCTGAGAACTGAAAACAAGTTTTTATGGAACAAATTCCAAAGGTTATTAGAGAATTAATAAGGCAAAGTTCAATACTAACTTAGTCCATCTTTCATAACAAGAGGACAGTGAGATAATGCCAACACACGTAATAACCTTAAAAGTCTGATGTGGCGTTTAGTTATTAACAAAGATTATATTGGTGGAAAATTTTAACCCTCAAGGGGCCTTTTTATACCCTCCACCATAGTATGTAGGGTATATTAGGTTTGGCATTCCGTTTGTAACACCTCGAAATATACATTTTAGACCCCACAAAGAATATATATTCTTGATCAGCATAAAATTATATGACGATCCAGCGATGTCCGTCCGTCTGTCCGTCAATCCGTCTATGGAAATCACTCTATTTTCCGAACGAATTGAAGTAGATTGATAAAATTTTCCACAAATGTATGCTATGTTTGCAGGAATTTTGGTATTGAAAATGGGTTATGTAGGTCCACGTTTTGGTATGGCCCCCATATAACGGCACCTCCCGATATTCTTTATTGTGATGACTTTAGCGACATTATTCACCGGAATTGTTTCAAATTTGCTATTTGAAGTTCGTAATTTGTAATACAGCCTAAGACAAAAAATGTCTGTGCAGGTCCACGTTTCGGCAGATCTCGTATTAGTAAAAAAAAAACTTTAACTTTTTTTGGAGAGGTACCAGAAGAAATTCTCAGATCTCCACCATCTTTATAACAGATGTTGTGTTGATGGATATATTGAGATGTACCAAGTCTGAATGGAATTGGATGTAAATTCGCATTCTATAAGCTTCATGGATATTCCAAAAAATTTCCTTTGTTAGAGAGGTACCACAGAGGTATCTTCACGCCATGACGTGGGTTAATAAAAATATTGTGATGTGTGTAATCTGAGTTAATATTTAAATAAATGTTTGGCCTTTGTGGGGGAGTTACCAGAAGGAGCGGACCGATTTTGCCCATCTCCGAACCCGATCTAAGTTTGACAATAATATTACGATGTACCAAGTTTGGATAAAATCCGATACTCCCTTCGAGATACTATGCACATCAGCTAGCCAGACAGACGGACGAATAAAATATCCCGAAACAGATTTGGTCCAATGGGACCTAGGATCTAAAACCGTTATTTCGATGAGGCACCTTTTGGCCGTATCAAATGATATGCACCCTCTGTAGCTATATAGACTAACGGTATAAAAATTGGCATGAGGGGCGCTTGCAGTGTAAAGGGGCGATATAAGGTGCAGTGTTGGGAAAATAGTACTTACAGGGTACAAAAAGATTCCAAGATTCCAAAGCGTTTTTATACCCTACAACACTATGTGTTGGGGGTATTATAAGTTTGATTGGGCCAAAAATTATGTAACACCTCGAAATATTGATTTCCCACATAGGAAAGTATATATGGATCTTCCTATCTCGCCGAGTTGAGTCGATCTAGCTATGTATGTCCGTCCGTCCGTCTGTCCATGTTAATTTGTAATCACTCTACAGGTCGCAATTATGGCCCGATCTTCACGAAATTTAGAATGGAGGTGGAGATAGGGTCAGAATAGAACCCTATTTCTTTTGGAGATGATCGCATAATATTTAGGGGTCAAAATGGACCAAAAACTGAAAAATGTCGGATTTTGCAGTAGCTATACAGGTCGCAATTATAGACCAATCGAAGCGGAACTTCGCATGTACCTAGAGTTTAGGGCGGGGAAGAAGCCTACCAATTTGGGTGGTCATCAGATAATATTTATTTAGGTAAAATAGACCATATCTTTTGTGTTGAAAAAATTCAAAATTTTTCATTAAACCGCGAATATTTTAAATCCCGGCGAAATCACAAAGCCATGACAAGGTTACTCCTGATCTTTACATCCAACAAAATGGATATATAGCAAAATATGTGCGATATATATGTCTATCAAATAAGATATGCTTTTCATTTCGACAGTTCTCATTAATTCAGAATGGCCTCTTGGCAGGGAAGAAACAACGTCTAAAAAATCGCATGAAAACATCTCTCTAAAGATGAAAATATTGATTTTGTAACATTTTCTCATATTTTTTTCAATTTTGTCACATTTTTGGCATATTTTCATTTTGAATTAAACATTTGGTAATATTTCTAAAGCTAACAAAACTAAGTAGTTAGGATATCAGGATATCATATACAGATCGCATTTATGGCCCGATCCTAACGAAATTTTGCATGGGGATCAGATGAGGGTCAGAATAGAAGCCTACTCTTTTTGGAGATGATCGCCATATATTTAGGGGTTGAAATGGACCAAAAAACTGCAAAATTGTCGGCATGTCGTAATTATCGCCCGATCCTCACGCACATTTGAATGGGGGTTACCGGACATTGCAAAAGCCAAGCAATGTGTGAAATAGTTTGCCAACTTTTGTAGACAAAATACGAAAATGTCCATTCCAGTGACTTTTTGGAGAATTCACAAATACAGGAAAGACGCACTTCTGACTATTTCGTTAAGGCTGATTTCGTTGAAGAATATAATCAAATGTCTGTGTCTCATACAGATGCATTTCAGTCAAAAACCAATAATAAATGTTTATCTTTTGCCACTTCTGAGAGATTATAGGTCTTTGGGAAATATAGGTTCCAGATCTAGGAAGACCATTTGCGTGCAACATCTTCCAATAAATTGGAAATTAGCAAATTAGTTAAAGTTGCTATTATTCGAAAATTAGAGAACGAAACCTGATGGTTTTCTTTTATTATTTGTCACAATATATTGTGGAATTCTTTCAAGTATCTCGCCTATATAAACTGTATCGTTTATTATAGTGTTGTAGGGTATTCAACGGTCGGCCCCGCTCGACTGTAGCCTTTGCTTACTTGTTACACTTTGTTTTATCCAATAAATTTCTACCTCTTATTGATCTTTACAGAACATCTATAACTTAGAAAATGTCTATGAAGGTCACTTGTGATGTAGAGAGTTAAAGTGGGTCTAGATTTGTGGAAATCCACTTCAAACCCAGATAGGGATAGGATTAGTTTAGATACAGACTTCCCTCCTTCGTCCCCCTTTTGAGTCGGTTGAGGACGATGTTGTCGAAATTGTGTCCATCACATCTCTACATGCTTGTCTAAGGCCACTTTTATATCGAGTCCTTCATTACTCCCCTCAGATGGTTGAAGTAATGATGTTCCAACCCCTGTGTGGAGATCTGGATTTTGCAGCTCTAACATGGCCAAAGAAAGTTACTTTTCCACTTCTGGAGGTAAAACCTACCCAGATAGGCTTTGCTGGCTGAAATTCCCGCTAGAGTAACAGCTGTACGTTTCCCCCCTTTTCTAAGCTTACCAAAGTCATTAACTGTTCGTACTGCTCTTTTAGGCCGTTAATGACTTTGATGCCCTTGTATACAAATGCACTGCCGAACTGTTTGTCTCCATGGTTTCTCGCGTCCGCAACAATGTCGTTTCTTAGACTCAATGACTATCTTTTGATTTTCCCTTACGGGTCAGATATATCAACGGTTACTTGTCGAAAGTCATCTTTGAATAACATTGGAGAAGTCCTTTGGTAAGGTTTCTTTCTCTTTGGACCCGTGGATTTCAAAGTAGACTTTCCTATAATAGGCTTGATTTTTACACTACTAGTCTATTCCTTACCGCTTTGACCAAGAGAAGCTGCATAAGAAACAGATACACCCTTTAATCTATAATCGAAGTTTTTCACAGACTATTTGTTGAAGAACCATCCAAATAATAGTCGAAGGACTAATTCGATGGAAAACTATTGAAACATCGGAAATCAAGAGAAACAATAATATGGGGGCTATACCTAGCATAAGACCGATATAGCCCATTTTCAGTGGCAGTCATCTTGGAAATAATATTAATTTCATCCCCATATGTCAACAAGATAATGTAACCTCCGTCTTGACTTCAATAGACTGACGGTCGGACTGACAGTCAACTTAATCTATTCAGAATATTACGCATTACATATATGCTTTGTGGGACCTACAACGAATATTTTAAGGATTGATTTGCAAATGACTGCACAGAATTGTCAAAATCTTATTACAAAATATATATAAAAATCAAAGCCTACTTTTAGGATGACAACTTATCAAACAATTGATATAATTGTTACTCAAGAGTATGACCCAAGCAATAAATAGCTGGAGAACACCACTCCATCCGTCATAGGCATAATGTCAATTTATTGATGCGAATTTGACTCCAAAAATATCAAAGCTCAGCGTAACCACATACCCCTTTCGGGCCACAGCTTTCTCGTCAGTTTCCCACAAGTCAGCAGTTGAGTAGTTGCAACTATGGGTAAAGTCTCACAAGTATTTCGTTCGAATTTTGCGGAACATTTACGTTTCGGCCATTGTTTTGAAATTTGCGGCAAGGCCAAAGAAGGTGCTAAAAGGTAGTGTTATTTTTGGGTTTCGTTTTTATATACGTCTACTATATATGAATGTGTGTGTGTGAGGGATAAAGCAGTAAAAATAAGAGAATATGAAAAAAAAAAGAGGTGAAGTGTTTGTTACGTGAATTGTTTATAAATAGTAAACAATAACACAAAGACATGACAATGAAGACGTTTTGAAAAAGAAAAGTTTAAAATCGAGCGGTCTTCAGTAATTTAAATAATGGCTATGGATATGGAAATCCCCTTTGGAGGTATTACCCCCTTTTTGTCATTACGCATCGTATTCTAAGTTTGAGTATTGTGGGGTAGAACAATAATAGCTATGTTGACCCCATAGATTTTCAAATTAATTCATGACTATAGGTCATATTTCGTATCGGACCCAAATAAATATGATATAAATATTGCGACGTGCCAGGTTTGGACTATATCGACTACTTCCTTCACTCAATATGATATATGTGATAATTTTTAAAAAAACCTAAAATGTGCCGGAGGTACCATATACAGGGTGAGATAAAAGAGCTGCAACAAAGTCAAACGGCATCATTTTTGCATTTTTTTTTTAATTTTATTGAATGAAAGCAAAAAATGTCGGAAATAGCATCAAATTTTGGAATAAGTTTAGATTTGTTTGAATTGGTCATCTTTGGCACGAATTATGGCCTTCAAACGGCCAATGAAACCGTCACACGCTGCCCGAATATTGCTCTGCGGCATTTTGGCCCATTCCCGACGAAGTGCTTGCTTGAGGTGATCGACACTTTGGTATTTTTTAGTTCCAACTTTACTTTCCAAAATACAGACAGACAGACACAATAGTCCAACGGATTGATATCCGGAGATTTTGGTGGCCAATGGCCATTGTTCGCTGGAAATGAAGCGGGGAACCTCATTTTGTAACCATTCTTGGGTGGTGCGTGCTGAATGCGATGGTGCAGAGTCCAGTTGGAATGTCCAAGATCTGCGGCCAAAATGTTTGCCTGCCTTTGCCAAGGCTTTAATACACCCTAGAGAATATTTTCGCGATAATATTCGGCATTTATTCTGATGCCATTGGTCCCCGACAAAATATTCTACGTCAGTAGTTTCGATATTCCTTAGAAAAATCTTAAACAAATCCACGTTTATATCTCCGATTGTCCAAAAAATATTCCTAAAAAATCACATTTGTAGCTTCCTTTCCTTTGGAAAAAATATTCTTAAAAAAATGGTGTTTCTAGCACCGATTGCTCTTGAAAAATATTTCTAAAAAAAAAATTGGAAAAAATAATTTTTTAAAATACACGTTTATAGCGCTCGGATTGTCCTTGAAAAAAATTCTTTTAAAAAATCCCCATTTATAGCTCGGATAGTCCTTGAAAAATTTCTTTTTAAAAATCCCCATTTATAGCTCGGATAGTCCTTGAAAAAATTCTTTTTAAAAATCCACGTTTAATGCTTCGATTGTCCTTGAAAAAAATTATTTTTTAAAAATCCCCATTTATAGCTCGGATTGTCATTGAAAAAATTCTTTTTAAAAATCCCCATTTATAGCTCGGATAGTCCTTGAAAAAATTCTTTTTAAAAATCCGCGTTTATTGGTCCTTGAAAAAAATTAATTTTTCAAATCCACGTTAATTGGTCCTAGAATTTTTTATTTTTAAATCCACGTTAATTGGTCCTTGAAAAAAATAATTTTTAAAATCCACGTTAATTGGTCCTAGAATTTTTTATTTTTAAATCCACGTTAATTGGTCCTTGAAAAAAATAATTTTTAAAATCCACGTTAATTGGTCCTAGAATTTTTTATTTTTAAATCCACGTTAATTGGTCCTAGAATTTTTTGTTTTTAAATCCACGTTAATTGGTCCTTGAAAAAAATAATTTTTAAAATCCACGTTAAATGGTCCTTGAAAAAATTATTTTTAAAAATCCACGTTAATTGGTCCTTGAAAAAATTATTTTAAAAAATCCACGTTAATTGGTCCTTGAAAAAATTATTTTTAAAAATCCACGTTAATTGGTCCTTGAAAAAATTAATTTTTAAAATCCACGTTAATTGGTCCTTTAAAAAATTATTTTTAAAAATCCACGTTTATTGGTCTTTGAAAAAATTATTTTAAAAAATCCACGTTTATTGGTCCTTGAAAAAATTATTTTTAAAAATCCACGTTTATTGGTCCTTGAAAAATTATTTTTTAAAAATCCACGTTGTTTTGGTCCTTGAAAAAATTATTTTTAAAAATCCACGTTTATTGGTCCTTGGAAAATTATTTTCAAAAATCCACGATTATTGGTCTTTGAAAAAATTATTTAAAAAAAAACACGTTTATTGGTCTTTGAAAAAAAATTTAAAAATCCACATTTATTGGACTTTGACAAAATTATTTTAAAAAACCCACGTTTATTGGTCTTTGAAAAAAATATTTTAAAAAATCCACGTTTATTGGTTTTTGAAAAAATTATTTTTAAAAATTAACGTTTATAGCTCGGATTGACTTGAAATGTGTCATCATTTTAATTTCCCTTCCTTCCTCTCTTTCCACAGTTTCCACATTTCCCTTGGCACGGACATATTGGCATCAGAAGAGAATCTCAAAATCGGCCTGCATTTTGTTGCCGATTTCGAGGCGAATCAAATAATTCTGAGGAAATTTCTCAACCAAAAATGGTGTGAAGAAGAACGCTATGACTGTGAAACGTCGCAATTTTTCCAAGAATTCCGAATCTATATTGCCTTGGCTGATGGAAAATTTCACCTGAGCATCAATGGTCAGGCGCTGGCAAGCTATAATTATAGCATTCGTCTATCATTGCTTACCGTAATGAATATCTCGGGAGATTTGGAATATATCCGACAAATGGATCATCGCAAATATTTCCCTTACATATGGCCGCCCATCCAAATTCTCGAGGATCGTCTACAGTTTAGTGCCGATGTACCGATGCCCTTCGAATCGGGTAATGTTGTGTGTATTTCCGCCCAATTGGAGGGCAATGAGAGTGGTCGGTTTATTGTACATTTGCGAAACATCTGGGATATGGAAAGACAGGAGTTGCATTTCAGTGTGCGCTTTGACACCCGAACTGTGGTGAGAACTTCCAAGACCATTGTGGAGGAGGAGCATTACAGGTGGCAATGAGGGAAACATTTTTTTTTTTCAAATTAATTTAATTCATTATTTTCCCCCCTCAGTTTCGATGTAGAGGATGCTGGAGACATTGAATTTCCCTTTGCTGAGTTCAACGCGCCCTTTAAACTGGCCTTTGGTTTCGTGGAGAATAAGGTGAAAATTGCCAAAGACGGTGTCGCCTTGTGTCAATTTGCCTTTAGGACACCCAATGTTTTACCCTTTGTGGGTGGATTGAAAATTTTCGGCATTGATGGAGTCCAGGTCAAAGTTAGCGAAATTGAATACACCAAACTCGATGCCAGTTGTACGGATTTTGAGAATCTCTCACAATAGTTATATTTAAGCAATAAAAAAAAACAAATAAAATACTGATCTCAAATGAATCGAAATTTTTTAGAATAATTTTCTAAGAAACGCCTCATAATCGTTGATTTAAAAAAATATATTTTTGGAGAGCCATCCAATTTATAACCACCGTTTACAGTTGGGGATCTTCGGACCATTCCAAATATAATACTGTGCTACAAAATTGAATTCTTTCAATAATGGCAGATTATAAAAGTAGAGCTAAAAATAGAAAACACTTGTATCGACGTTTTGGCAGTTTACACCGCAAAGAAACCGAAATAGAGAGGGGCAAGGTCCCCCTTTGCCCCACTTATGGGCATTTTCGGATTAAGATTCCATGGAATCCATTCATTCAAAGTATATGGTGTCTTTGGCAAAATTACAGATAACAATATGGGGATTATTTCATTTACAAATGTTAACCCTCAAGAGAGTAAAAAAAGTGGTCTTTTTTTACCTTTTTTCAAAATATGATTAAAAACTTCCTTTAAACGTCATCGTAACAAGCCAAAATATTGTACAAATTTATTTGCCATAAAATTCTACTATGGGTCCTAGAAGACGTCAAGAGTCGAAATCTTACCCAAACGGCAGGAATTCATATACATGGTGAGATAAAAAAAATAGAATAGCCCGACTTCAAGGAAGTGGACGTAAGAAAATAGCAACATCAGCAAAAATGGGCCGAAATGTAAAGAAGCGATTTGATCGAAACCCGCGTCGCAGTGGCCAAATAATGGCTCATGAGCTGGACATATCGCAACATTCCATTCGGCAAATATTGAAAAATGAATTCGAGGTAAAGTCATAGAAATTCTAAAAAGTGCAAGAACTTACATCGCAAACAAAATGATCGTGTTTACTTGCCAAAGAGGTCAGCTTAAAATGTGCACCTTTAGTTGGCCACCTAAACTCAAGCACCGGCCATGGTGATGCTGTGGGCCTCCATAACAGCTGATGTTCGCTTTCCGCTTGTATTAATCGATCTTTGTATAAGAACCGTGGCATCAGAAGAAATTCTGAATATAATCGCAAAAATATTCTGGAGGGTGTATTAAAGCCTTGGGCACGCCAACATTTTGGGCACAGTCCTTGGACATTCCAACAGGACTCAGCTTCTTGGACTTCTGGTTCTGCAGTATTTTGGAAAGCAATACCAAAGTGTCGATCACCTCAAGCAAGCGCTTCGCCGAGAATGGCGTGTGACGGTCTCATCGGCCATTTGAAGACCATAATTCGTGCCAAAGGTGACCAATTCGAACAAATCTAAACTTATTCTAAAATTTGATGATATTTCCGACATTTTTTGCTTTCATTCAATAAAATTAAAAAAAAAAATGTAAAAATTATGGCGTTTGACTTTGTTGCAGTTTTTTATTTCACACTGTATATGTTTAGGGTTTTAGCACCTTTCTATTGTAACTCAAAATCTCCATTTATACTTCATTTTTTGGAGAAAGTGTCAAAGTAAGAATTATTCTAGATCAAATTTCATTGCCAATCTCTGAATAAAAGAAGTGTGTATATTCAATATGTATCATGAAAAATTTCTTGTAAATATCGTCTCTATATAATAACAACTCAAAAAGCCAAAATTTGGCGAATTTAAATGAAAACCATAGCCAAAACGTAAAAAATACTTAAAAAGGAAGATTTCCCTCCATTGAGAAAATCCCACAATGATTTGCGATATGATCGATTTTCTGCACCAATAATTCTGAATGCAATCCCATAATCTCCATCTAATTTCAAAGCTCTATCCCAAATGTTGCGAATATATATATCAAACAACAGGGGTTCCTTGGTATACAGTCTGAATAAGAACCCGAAACTCTATTGGGGTTTTGATCAACAACCGAGTTTTATCAAGTCCACTTAGAATATTCCACAACCCTGACTGGCTCTTGTACAGTAAAATTATAAGAAAATTCGCAGCGAATTGGAAAATGTGCGAAATTTTTCAGAAACTAACATGGTTTTTTTTTATTGGCGAAAATTGATGAGATTTTCCATGGTACACATTGAATATACAAATTTCTTTTGTAGAGAGACTTACAATAAAATTTGATCTAGAATAATTCCTCCTTTGACACTTTCCGGTAAAAATGATATATTAAGGGAGATTTTGGCCTAGGGTTGGAAATATCTTAAATTAACCGTAAAAAAATCAAACACATACACGTAATTTTCACTGGTAGTACATACATTTCGAATGTAAATTTCTCAAAAACCATCATACCTAGATATATGATTTATTCTGAGATTTATAGTGAAATTTAGTGTACAATATTTCTTCTTTTGATACTTTCTGGCTAAAACGAAATTTTATGTAACCTTCAGGCGTCAACTAGAAAATGTCCGAGAAAAAGACTTACCACAAATTATAGGAAAATTTTTCGGTTTTTGTATGAACATTGATGCTAATAATTTTTGATATATAATAGAAATAGAAATTTCTTTTCTTCGGTGGCTCATAGTGAAATTTGATCTAGAATAATTCTTCTTTTGACACTTTCCCCAAAAAATTAATTAAACAGGGAGAATTTGACTTTGATTGGAAATATCTTAATTTGACTGAAAAAAAAACTAAACACATAGTTTTTACTTGTAGTACATAAAATTCGAATGTTATTTCCATAAAAACTATTATACGTAGATATATAGTTCATTCTGAGATTTACAGTCAAAATTTGTGTAGAATATTTCTTTCTTTGACACATTCTGCCAAAAATGAGTATGTGTGTTACTTTCAGAGGCGAACTCGAAAAATATCCGAGGAAAAGTTGATCAAAAAAATGAGGAAATATTTTCGGTTTTTTTTAGCAACATTGATGCATATATTTCTATGACATACGATGGAAATACAGATTACTTTTCGTTCGTGACTTATAGTTAAATTTGATGTAGAATAATTCCTTCTTTGGAACTATCCCCAAAAATTGAAGTATAAATGGAGATTTTAATTCAGATTGGAAACGTGTTAAATTAACAGTAAAAAACAAAGACACAATTTTTACATTTAGCACGTACATTTCGAATGCAATTTTCATAAAACCTATTGTACCTAAAGATATGGTTTATTCTGAAATTTATTGTGAAATTCTGTGTATAATATTTCTTTCTTTGAAACTTTCTACCAAAAATGAGTTTGTATGTTGCTTTCAGACGCCAAATCGAAAAAAGTCGGAGGAAAAGTTAATCAAAAAATCAGGAAATATTTTTGGTTTTTTTGCAACTATGATGCAAATGTTTTTTTTTTTTTTTTATATAAAGGATATATGGATTTCTTTTCTTTGGTGGCTCATAGTAAAATTTAGTTTAGAATAATTTCTTCTTTGGAACTATCCCCAAAAATTGAAGTGTAAATGGAGATTTAACTCGGATTGGAAACGTGTTAAATTAACAGTAAAAAACGAAGACACAATTTTTACATTTAGCACGTACATTTCGAATGCAATTTTCATAAAACCTATTGTACCTAGAGATATGGTTTATTCTGAGATTTATTGTGAAATTTTATATAGAATATTTCTTTCTTTGAAACTTTCTACCAAAAAGGAGTTTGTATGTTGCTTTCAGGGGCCAACTCGAAAAAAGTCGGAGGAAAAGTTAATCAAAAAATCAGGAAATATTTTTGGTTTTTTTGCAACTATGATGCAAATGTTTTTTTTTTTTTTTTTTTTTTTTTGATATAAAATTGATATATAGATGTCTTTTCTTTGGTGGCTCACAGTAAAATTTAATCTAGAATAATTTCTTCTTTGGAACTATCCCCAAAAATTGAAGTATAAATGGATATTTTAACTCGAATTGGAAACGTGTTAAAGTAACAGGAAAAAACCAAACATAATTTTTACTTTTAGTCCATGCATTTCGAATGCAATTTTCATAAAAACTATTTTACCTAGATATATGATTTATTCTGAGATTTATAGTGAAATTTTGTGTGGAATATTTCTTCTTTTGAAACTTTCTGCCTAAAACGTAAATTTAGGTCACTTTCAGGCGTAATTTCGCAAAAAAGACCGAAAAAACTGTTCACAAAAATTTTGGAAATTTTTTGGTGTTTTTTGTGAACATTGATCCTAATATTTTTTTAATACAATAGAAATAGAGATTTCATTTCTTCGGTGACTTATAGTGAAATTTGATCTAGAACAATTCTTCTTTTGACATTTTCCCCAAAAAATGAAGAATAAAGGGAGATTTTAACTTTAATTGGAATTATCTGAATTTAACAGAAAAAAAAAACTAAACTCATAGTTTTTACTTGTAGTACATAAAATTCGAATGTTATTTCCATAAAAACTATTATACGAAGATATGTAGTTTATTCTGAGATTTATAGTGAAATTTTGTGTAGATCATTTCTTCCTTTGGCATCTTCGGCTTAAAATGAAATTTTGTCTTAGTTTCAGGCGCCAACTCGAAAAAAGTCCGAGAAAAAATTATAAAAATTGGGGAGTATTTTCAGATTTTTTTTTGGTAACATTGATGCAAATATTTTCATGATATATAATGGATATTGAGATTTCTTTTCTTTGGTGGCTCATAGTAAAATTTAATCTAGAATAATTCCTTCTTTGGAACTATCCCCAAAAACTGAAGTGTAAATGGAGATTTTAACTCGGACTGGAAACGTGTTAAATTAACAATAAAAAAACAAACACATAATTTTCGCTTTTAGTACATACATTTCGAATGTAATTTTCATAAAACCTATTGTACCTAGAGATATGGTTTATTCTGAGATTTATTGTGAAATTTTGTGTAGAATATTTCTTTCTTTGAAACTTTCTGCCAAAAATGAGTTTGTATGTTACTTTCAGGCGCCAAATCGAAAAAAGTCGGAGGAAAAGTTGATCAAAAAATGAGGAAATATTTTTGGTTTTTTTTTGCAACTATGATGCAAATATTTTCGTGATATATAAAGGATATATGAATTTCTTTTCTTTTGTGGCTCATAGTAAAATTTAATCTAGAATAATTTCTTCTTTGGAACTATCCCCAAAAATTGAAGTATAAATGGAGATTTTAACTCGAATTGGAAACGTGTTAAATTAACAATTAAAAAAACCAACACATAATTTTCGCTTTAAGTACATACATTTCGAATGCAATTTTCATAAAACCTATTGAACCTAGAGATATGGTTTATTCTGAGATTTATAGCGAAATATTGTGTAGAATATTTCTTTCTTTCAAACTTTCTGCCAAAAATGAGTTTGTATCTTACTTTCAGGCGCCAAATCGAAAAAAGTCGGAAGAAAAATTCACAAAAATAGGTAATATTTTAGGTATGCAGATATTTTTTTAATTCATGTAATGGATATAGAGATTTCTCTTCTTTGGTGACTAATAGTGAAATTCGATGTAGAATAATTCTTTCTTTGACACTTCGCCAAAAAAAAATAGTATAAAGGAGATTTTGACTTGGATTGGTAACGTCATAAATTATGAGTTAAAAAGCAAACACATCATTTTTGTTTTTAGCACATATATTTCGAATATAATTTTCATAAAACCTATTGTACCTAGATATACAATTTGTTCGGAGATTTATAGCGAAATATTGTGTAGAATATATCTTCTTTTGACACTTTCTGCCTAAAACGTAATTTTATGTCACTTTCAGGCGTCATTTCGCAAAAAGTCCAAAAAAACTGGTCACAAAAATTTAGGAATTGTTTTTGGTTTTTTTTTTTTTTTTAATATTTTTTTTAATACAATAGAAATAGAGATTTCATTTCATCGGCGACTTATAGTGAAATTTAATGGAGAATATTTTTTCCTTTAACGTCATCCTTATAAAATGATCCTTTAGTGGAGATTTTTGCATAAACTCACTCAAAGTACGGCTTTAACCGTAAAATGACTTTTTAGTATATACGAGTTCCTGGCGTTTAGTTAAGATTTAGACTTTTGACGTCTTCTAGGATCTATAGTAGAATTTTATGACAAATAATTTTGTAGAATATTTTTATATGCTACGGTGACGCTTAAGGGGAGTTTTTAACCATATTTTAAAAAGGGACAAATAATACGACTTTTTGACTCGATTGAGTGTTAAAATGTCCAAAATAATCCTCGTATTGTTATCCTAAACCTATTGTTATCCTCGTATTATTATACCTAAAATGCACGAGTTCCTGAGAATCTTATTCTGAAAATTTACAAAAATGTGTGGAAGATGGGGGGAACATTAACCCTTTATTTGGGTTACTTGGCGATATAAACTTTCAAAACTTTGTTGACTTGCTTGAGTGTTAAAATGTTAGACCAAAAGAATCCTTGCATTGTTATCTGTTATATTGGCAAAGACACTATATAGCCAAACTGGGCGGATTCCGAGGAATCTTAATCCAAAAATTCCAAAAATGTGTTGAAGAGGGAGGAGACTTGACCCCTCTTTATTTCGGTTACTTAGCGATGTGAACTTTCAAAAACGCCAATACAGGTCTCTTCTATTTCTGACTTTCATTTCATAATCTGAGGGATATTTTCAGTAATTATTGAAAAAAAATAAATAAAATTTTTTCGCACAGTAATATTTTCCTGGATTTCCTGGAAGGATGTTTATTAAAGGAGAATTCCGCCTATTATCCTGGATTTTTTAAGAATACTTCTTGAAAAAGCAACTAATCAAAAATCGGAGTCACAAATTTTCCATCTACAAAGTGTTGCTTAGCTTCCGCTACTCGAAAATAAACTATTTATTTACGGCTAGTCTTTTGTTGGGCGAGCTTTCTCAGCATCGGGAACCCCACAACAATATCTAGTCCCAAAATAACAACAAGTACCAATCATTGTTTGAGTGCAAAACCCAGCTGCCGGTGGTGAGTCAATACATGATTCTTTATTTACTTTAGAAGAGAATGAGTGGTTTTGTTAATATTTTTTTTTCTCATAAAACAAAGGCAAGCGGCAGTGAGCAGATTCAGCTGTTGAATCAACTAACGAACATGCCGACGGTATTTCAAGGCAAGCTTTCTGAGAATCTAAAATTCGGTCATATTTTGGAAATTTCTGGCCAAGCAGAGGAAAATGGCTATTGGTAAGTCGGGGTTTTTTTTCGTGGGAATTCTACTCTAATAATTGAAATGATTAATTGCCCATAGGTTCTCCATCTCTTTGGCTGCGGATAGATTTACGGAAAGCGATGATGAAGTCTTCATTGGCCTGAGAATGTCAATTTACCTGCAGGAGGACCTGATTGTTTTCAAGCAACGCCATCATGGCGAATGGAAAAACTTAGCCTCTGAAAATTTTCTCAATCGGTTATTTTATCAGCGATTTCACATCAACATGATCTTCGATGAAAAGAAAATCTACATTTCCGTAAACAATCGAAAACTGCTACACCTGCCCCATGCTGCAATGCCAAAAGATTTGAATACCCTACAAATAACGGGAGAATTGAAAACGCTTCGGCAAATTGATCATCGAAAATATTTTCCCATTATCTGGCCGCCCATAAGCTATGTTGAAAGTCGTTTGGAATTTAGCCACGACATACCCAGCAGCTTTCAGCCGGGTCATGTTATGGCCGTAACACTGAAATTGTCGGGTAATCGCAATGGGCGTTTTCATCTGCACTTCTGCAATATCCACAACAGTAAACGCCAGGAAATACACATCAGTGTACGTTTCGATACCCGGAAAATTGTGCGCACCTCCAAGTTGCCCGTACAGTATGTGAACGGAGAAGAGGATTTGGAACAATTAGAGTAAGTTATGTCATCATAAGATATAAGTTTTTCTTAAATGATGAATTTTCTCTCAGGTATGGCATAGAAGAAATCCATGGCGATTTTCCCTTTGATCGTTTTCCAGCCATTACTAAATTTGCCTTTGGCTTTACTCCCACCTCCTTGCTGCTGGCCAAAGATGGCCGTTTTCTTTTCGACTACCATTTTAGAACTCTCAATGTCTTGCCACAACTTTCGGGTCTTAAAGTGTTAAGTCTTTATGGCATGAAAGTTCATGTTAAGGACATTGAACACTTTAAAATGTCTGACACACAATGTGGAGGATTTGAAGTCTATTCAAGATAATGATTGGAAAAATTAATAAAAAGAATTACAAAAACAATGTGAAAAATTTGAAAAAAAGAAATACAAAAAGTCACAATTCGATTTGGGGATGAATGGAAAATTTAATAAAAAAAAATTAAAAAAAAAATAATGGGAAAATTTTGAAAAAAAAATACAAAAAATCACAATTCGATTTGGGGGTGTCCTTAAAAAATTACTCCTAAAAAATTCACAAAATAAAAGGTATGGTCTTTTAAAAAAAACATATTCTGTAAAAAATCCTCAATTTTCGGACTGGTAGTCCTTCAATAAATATTCCCTGAAAGTATGAAATGAGCTGAATGAAAAAAATCGAAAATATTCTCCGTTTTTTAATTAGTTTTTCCTCCGACTTTTTTCGAGTTTAATCCTGAAAGTAACATTTTTCGTTTTAGGCGAAAGGAACCAAAAGAAGATGTATTCTACGCAACATTTCACCCTTAATCTCGGAATACACCATACATCTAGGTATAACAGTTTTTGAGAAAATTACTTTCGAATTTTATGTACTACAAGTGAAAATTAAATGTTTGCAGTTGTACTGTTAATTTAAGACTATTACAATCCAAGTCAAAATCTCCCATTATACTTCATTTTTGGAGAAAGTGTTAAAAGAAGAATTTTTCTAAATCAAATTTTACGGTAAGTTACCAAAGAGAAGAAATCTCTATTTCCATTGATTATCAAAAATATATTGGTAACAATGTTCCCAAAAAATCCGAAAATATTTCCTTTTTTTGATAAATTTTTCCTCGGTCCTTTTTCGAGTTGACGACTGAAACTAACATAAATTTACATTTCTGGCAGAAAGTGTCAAAAGAAGAAATAATCTACACAAAATTTCACTATAAATTTCAGAATAAATCATATATCTAGGTACGACAGTATTTGAGAAAATTACAATCGAATGTTATGTTCTAAAAGTAAAAATTATGTGTTTGCGTTTTTACTACCAATTTAACACGTTTGGAATCCAAGCCAAAATTTCCCATTATACTTCATATATTGGGAAAAGTGTCAAAAGAAGAATTATTCTAGACCAAATTTAACTATTAGTCACCAAAGGAAAGAAATCTCTATATATATTGTATATAAAAAAATAACTGCATCAAAGTTGCCAAAAAAAACCAAAATATTCCCCAATTTTTTTATTAATTTTTCCTTCGACTTTTTTTCGAGTTGGCGCCTGAAAGTAACATAAAATTACGTTTCTGACAGAAGCAGTCAATAGAAGATATATTCTACACAAAATTTCACTACAAATCTCAAAATAAATCATATATCTAGGTGCGACAGAATTTATGAAAATTACAATCGAAGTTTATGTTCAAAAATAAAAATTATGTGTTTGCGTTTTTATTGTTAATTTAACATGTATACATAGCGAGTCAAAATCTCCCATTATACTTCATTTTTTAGAGAAAGTCTTAAAGGAAGAATTATTCTAAATCAAATTTTACTATGAGCCACCAAAAGGAAGAAATCTCTATATCTATTTTATATAAAAACATAACTGCATCAAATTTGCAAAAAAAAAACACAAAATATTCCCCAAATTGTTTTTATCAATTTTTCCTTGAACTTTTTTTTGAGATGACGCCTTAAAATAACACAAAATTTGGTTTTAGGCAGAAAGTGTCAAAGAAAGAAATATTCTACAAAAAATTTCACTATAAATTTCAGAATAAATCATATATGTAGGTACGACAGTATTTGAGAAAATTACAACCGAAAGTTATGTTCTAAAAGTAAAAATTATGTGCTTGCGTTTTTTACTATTAATTTAACATGTATCCAAACCGAGTCAAAATCTCCAATTACACTTCATTATTTAGAGAAAGCCTTAAAGGAAGAATTATTCTAAATCAAATTTCACTATGAGTCACCAAAGAATTTTATGACAAATAATTTTAATGAATATTTTGACTTGCTACGATCCCGTTTAAAGGAAATTTTTAACAGTATTTTCAAAAAGTACCAAAAAGACCCTTTTGGTGATTTGCTTTTTATACCCTACAACACCATGTGTTGGGGGTATTATAAGTTTGATTGGGCCAAAAATTATGTAACACCTCGAAATATTGGTTTCCCACATAGGAAAGTATATATGAATCTTCCTATCTCGCCGAGCTGAGTCGATCTAGCTATGTATATCCGTCCGTCCGTCTGTCCATGTTTATTTTTTTATCACTCTACAGGTCGCAATTATGGCCCGATCCTCGCGAAATTGAAAATTTCTTTTGGAGATGATCGCATAATATTTAGGGGTTGAAATGGACCAAAAACTGAAAAAAATCCTGATTTTGTAGTTACTCTACAGGTCACAATTATAGACCAATCGAAGCGGAATTAGGCATGGGGCTAGAGCTTAGAGCTGGGCAGTATCTCTCCAATTTTGATGGCCAATTAATGGTAATAATTAGTGGGTGAAATAGACCATAACATTTGTGTTAAATAAAAGCCAAATTTTCTATTAAACCACGAATATTTTTAATCCCGGCGAAATGACAAATAGACGAACAGGTCAATTCTGACCGTTACGTCGATGCCGATAGTAAATATATCGGATATATATAGAGAAATATATACAATGTGTATATACATAGGAAGGGGATGTTAGCTAGAATGCTTATATCTCAAGAATGGCTGGACCGATTGTGACAAATTTTGTCAATTCAGAATGCCCTCTTGACATACAAGTATAAAATCTAAAAAAGTCGCATAAAAAGGTGCCAATAATGATGTTAATATAGATTTTGTAGTATTTTGTAACATTTTTTATTTTTTTTTATATTTTTTATCGCATGCGATTTTTTCAATTTGACTTATAAAAATTTTTCAGGTTGGGGATTGGGGTTATATACAGATTGCAATTATCGCCCGATTCTCGCGAAAATATTCACAAGGGTAGGGTTATGCTCAGAAGGGCTACGACTGTGGTTTTCAAGGATGTCAATACATTTAGGGGTTGAAATGAACCAACAACTAAAAATATTCCTTATTTTGCAGCCGTTATAAAGGTCACAAATAGTAACCAAAAGACACGAAATCTATCATGAAGTCAGCGTTAGGACAGAGTTGGACCACTACTTTTGTGTGAAAAAAATACCATCAAATGAACCAAAAACAGGAACAATATCCCGATCACACAATAGAAACTAATCGACATGCCTGAGAAGAGAGATAAGGACAGGGAAGAATTCTAGCATTTTAGATGACCATTGGATTATATTTAGCTGTAAAATGGACCATAACAACTTTTATAACCTAAGAATTTTGTCTCACAGTGTATTCTTTAAAAATCCAAAATTATAGTTAGAATGGTATTTAAAAAATGTTCTTTAAAAATCCACAATTATAGGTTGAATGTTGTCTCAACAAATATTCTCTAAAAATCCACAGTTATTACTAAGATGGTCCTTCAATAATTATTCTCCAGAATTCTATGATTATCCTTAAAAAACATATTCTTAAATAAATTTCTTAAAAAATGGACAATTATAGTTGGGATGGTCTTTCATATAATATTCTTTTAAAATCCCCAATTATAGTTAAATGGCCTTCAAAAAACACCGGGATTATATGGTTGGATGGTCGTTCACAAAATATTATTTTATAAGTGCTACCTTATATAATAGCGGATTTGTCGTCTTTGCTAGGATACACATTTTTAAGTATTGTAGGCAACAACCTGTTTCACCTTGCCATATGAACTTACAATATATATAGTATAGACACAAACCCCTAGTACATTTAAAATGTGCAACAGGGTGACAATTTGAGAAATTATTTCACACACCCAGTACTATGGACACACAAAAAGGGTGAAACAAAAATAATTACAAAAATATGTATTTTCTAAAAATATTTTTAAAAGGAAAACTAAAACATAGATTTTCTAGAGAACTGTTAAAGTTGTAATCGTAAAATGTTTATAAATATTTTAAGTGTATTTTTAATCTTTAATTAAAAATGCTTTAAAATGTTAATTTTTTGAGAATGATTTTGAAAGTCGTTTTTTTTTTTTTTGTTTTTTAAAGGGAGGGAAAAAATTTTTGGAGTCCGATACCATAGACAAAAGAAAATATAGACAACGAAATGCTCTCACCGTTTATCTTCGAAAAAAATCGGATCAGCAGATGTCGTCTATATCGTTTCAGGGGTTTGAGTGGGAATATTGAAGTCACTCAATTCTAAAACGTTAAAAATAACAAAAACTGTAGGATATTTCTCAGTTGAAAATTATATCATAATAAAAGAAATGTGAAAAGTACGTGATGACATCGAAAAATTCAGGAATAATCAAGTGAAATTCTTAAAAAACGAAGTCGAGTGGCTTGAACGCGTAAATGAGCATGTTGACTATGCAAAACATGATGAGAGCCACCTGGAAAAAAAGACCAAACTAACTTTTCGTTGTCTATATTTTCTTTTGTCTATGCCGATACCACCGATATGTGGGCGTTATTTTTTAAATCTGCTTTCATCGGAAATACTTTTGTTTTGAATGTTGTAAATTTTTAAAAATATCGTTGTATGTAATAAATAAAAAAAAATGTCTTAACGTGTTACATATTTAAAAGGGTTTTTAAGGGTTGCTTTTGAAAATTATTTTTATTTTAATTTTTAGTATATTTTTCGGAAATTGTTTATATGTTTTGAATCTTTTGAAAATGTCGTACTTTTATGAACATTTTTTTTTTAGTTATGAAATACCAACTTTGCTACAACTACGGGTTTTTTTGAGTGGTAAATTTAATCATGGATTTATTTAATTTTTTTAATCGAGCATTTTTAAAAAATGTTTTGGATATCTTTAATTTTTAAAAAGAATGTATATTTTTTTAATTGATAATTTTTAAAAGGATGGATTTAAAAAACAATCTTTTGAAAATATTGCATTTGCAATGCTTTTTTTGGAATCCCATCACACCTACATAGAACCGTGGATTTCTTGAAAAGATTTTTTAAATCTAGTATTTTTAAAGACAGTTTTGGATATCTTTAATGT